AGACCAAACGAGCTTGAAGCCGTGAATTTTACATGTTCCAGTCTGCCAAGCTAACCTCTCTATCCCTTATCTGCTCCGAAGAAGTATCATGACAAGCTCGAGTTCCAGGATGAGATCGACGCCGCCAATGCCAAGCTCAACCACAAGAATGCTGAAACGAAAAGCAAGGAATGGCTTTGAGGAGTACTGGCTCAGGTGGCTCAGGGACTCCAGTCCTGGTTACTTGGGATATCAATCCTGAACTCCGACCTGCAACAAGCTGTAAATAGATATGACCGCCATTGTTCAACCAACCCTGGGTTTGGCTTTGAACTGGCTCGCCAGCTCATACATCACTTTGTGGATGAGATTGGCCATCCATTAGAGGCAAAGAGCTCGGTCGCGTTACCATCAATTGCCTGTTATGATAAACTTGAGTTGGACTTTGAATGTGTCTGTCAACAAGTACATGATGTTGTGGGCGTGGGACATGCCATCGACTGGCCCCTTTGGCGGGAGTTTGCGGAGACAGAAACAGTTAGAATCATTGCCACAGAAGGGAAGACCAAGCAGCTCTCGTGTGTCACACCTTAACAGACGTGTAGGCCATTCTCCAGAAGTTTCATTCGAACAAGTGATGCTCCATCTGTCTATGTTATATAGGAGCACGACTCGCATGACAAGAACCTAGTGCTAGTAATGCTACTATGCAATACTGGTCACAATAGTTGCAGGAATAATCCATCAGATTCCATTTGGCCCCATGTTAGAAATGCTATACTTAGGATATGGATGGCATTTGCGTATATTATCATAAGAGCATAAAAATAGCCTAAAGTGGGAAAAGGGACAAACACTCTAGAGCATCATGGAATTCAAACGGATTGTGAGTCTGTTTTCCCGAACTGGAGATTCCTTGGGCCATGATTGGGTGATTGAAGGTTACCCCACCATGCCATCATCAATAGAGCTAACGTGGCATAATCACCCTGCGATAATTGATGCGGATAACCATAATCTACTTGCTGATAGCTCGTAGATGGTGCCTGTATTAGCGATTGGCGATATTAAGGGATATGAGGATCCTCTGTCGTTGTCGCAGTCACCCAAAAGGATACCTTCGGCAGTCAAGCCTCCGAGGGCCCACTAGACCAGGTTCTGGTGAGAATATTCTCGAAGTACAGAGAGTAAGTGAGGCCTGTACTTTCGAGTAAAGAAGGCGTCTCAGCCTACAAGGTTCACCTCAATCTTTGTCACATTCGGTGGAATTCAACCAGGCAGAGGACTCGCATGACTCACGATGCGTAGAAGCCCGTAGAAAACACACGCAATCCTTTGTTCCAACACCTTCTCTGCACATACCTCGAATGCTTGAATAGTGATACACAGGTGGCGTCTTACGCAGAGGCCAGCGATGACACTGGCCCTGTAGATTGAGGCGCTCAGTGTTTAAACAGGTGCCAGGGGTCGACAGCCTTGCCCTACAAACACTGTCCCCCCTCCAATAAACTCGGTGAAGAGAACTCTGAGCTTGCACAGTGCGGATATCCCATAACCCTCGGGACCCCTGTCACGTGGGGCCGCGCGAATGATGTGAAATGTGTCCTCATTGCGAACTGGACAGTTACTCTACTTTTTTTGGAGCCTTTAATAAGTTCAGACGCTTCCTCCTCCTCGCCTTCTTCCAACATTCAAAGATACCCCCTCTCTCCTCCATACCAAACAATTTGTGCGCAAGGCTCGAGACTCAGACGCCTTTGCTTTACAATTGATTGATTTCTTTTCTTTTTCTTTTCCATTTCAGAGTCTTGTTGCGCTTTCGAAAGCAGAGCAACTATAGAGAGCTCATCATGGCTCGTTCAAGGAGCTCAATGGCCCTTGGCCTGGGACTCCTTTGTTGGATCGCCCTCCTCTTCTCTCCTCTGGCCTTCGTCCAGACTGTTCAGGCCGACGAGGTCGATAACTACGGCACCGTCATTGGTATTGTACGTTTACCGCTTCTCGCCCGCTCATGATGACCCCGCTAACTAGCTCAGGATCTTGGAACCACATACAGCTGTGTCGGTGTGATGCAGAAGGGCAAGGTTGAGATTCTCGTCAACGATCAGGGTAACCGAATCACTCCCTCTTACGTCGCCTTCACCGAGGATGAGCGTTTGGTTGGAGACGCCGCCAAGAACCAGGCCGCCGCTAACCCCACGAACACCATCTACGATATTAAGTATGCACACATGAATTCCTCTGATTGCACGGCACAATGCTAACTGTTTAGGCGCCTCATTGGCCGCAAGTACTCCGAGAAGACCCTCCAGGGTGATATCAAGCACTTCCCCTTCAAGGTCGTCAACCGTGATGACCGTCCCGTCGTCCAGGTCGAGGTTGATGGCGCTAAGAAGCAGTTCACTCCTGAGGAGATCTCTGCTATGGTTCTTGGCAAGATGAAGGAGGTCGCCGAGGGCTACCTCGGTAAGAAGGTCACCCACGCCGTCGTCACCGTCCCTGCCTACTTTAACGTAAGTTTGACTTTCTCCTCCTTCGAGCTGATCAGACGGCTAACCCCCACCGCAGGACAACCAGCGACAGGCCACCAAGGATGCCGGTATCATTGCCGGTCTCAACGTTCTCCGAATCGTCAACGAGCCCACCGCCGCCGCTATCGCCTACGGTCTTGACAAGACCGACGGTGAGCGACAGATCATCGTCTACGATCTCGGTGGTGGTACCTTCGATGTCTCCCTTCTCTCCATTGATGACGGTATCTTCGAGGTCCTGGCTACCGCTGGTGACACCCATCTCGGTGGTGAGGATTTCGATCAGCGAGTCATCAACTACTTCGCCAAGCAGTACAACCAGAAGAACAACGTCGACATTACCAAGGACCTCAAGGCCATGGGTAAGCTCAAGCGTGAGGCCGAGAAGGCCAAGCGTACTCTGTCTTCTCAGAAGAGCACCCGCATTGAGATCGAGGCTTTCCACAACGGCAAGGACTTCTCCGAGACCCTTACCCAGGCCAAGTTCGAGGAGCTCAACATTGACCTCTTCAAGAAGACTATGAAGCCTGTTGAGCAGGTTCTCAAGGACGCCAAGCTCAAGAAGTCCGACGTTGACGACATCGTTCTTGTCGGTGGTTCCACTCGTATCCCCAAGGTTCAGCAGCTCATTGAGGACTTCTTCAACAAGAAGGCTTCCAAGGGCATCAACCCCGATGAGGCTGTTGCATTCGGTGCTGCGGTCCAGGCCGGAGTCCTTTCCGGTGAGGAGGGTACTTCTGGTGTCGTTCTCATGGATGTCAACCCCTTGACCCTTGGTATCGAGACCACCGGTGGAGTCATGACTAAGCTGATTCCCCGTAACACCGCTATCCCTACCCGCAAGAGCCAGATCTTCTCTACCGCTGCTGATAACCAGCCCGTGGTCCTGATCCAGGTCTTTGAGGGTGAGCGATCTCTTACCAAGGATAACAACATCCTCGGCAAGTTCGAGCTTACCGGTATTCCTCCCGCTCCTCGCGGCGTGCCTCAGATCGAGGTCTCTTTCGAGCTCGACGCCAACGGTATCCTCAAGGTCTCTGCCCACGACAAGGGCACCGGCAAGCAGGAGTCCATCACCATCACCAACGACAAGGGCCGTCTTACCCCTGAGGAGATTGAGCGCATGGTCGCCGAGGCTGAGAAGTACGCCGAGGAGGACAAGGCTACCCGCGAGCGCATTGAGGCCCGAAACGGCCTTGAGAACTACGCCTTCTCCCTCAAGAACCAGGTCAACGACGAGGAGGGTCTTGGTGGCAAGATTGAGGAGGAGGACAAGGAGACTGTAAGTTCTTCCACTACTCACATTAAAAATGCATATACTAACTTTTTCAGATCCTCGAGGCCGTCAAGGAGACCAACGAGTGGCTCGATGAGCACGGTGCTGACGCTACCGCTGAGGACTTCGAGGAGCAGAAGGAGAAGCTTTCCAACGTCGCTTACCCTATTACCTCCAAGATGTACCAGGGCGCCGGTGGCGCTGGTGGCGAGCAGGATGACAACATCCATGATGAGCTTTAAATGCATAGACTGATATTTGGGAAAAGAACATAAATGAAGTCCTTATTTCGGTGTTTGGTTGGAGCTGGGATGCGCAGGATGTAAAGTAGATAGCGCAATATCATGATTTTCAGCCAACCTCGTGTCGTATCTGCTGTTGAATAACAATCGTGTGCGCCTAGTCCATCGATGTCGAATGAACCCCCAGAAGTGAATGACAGCTTTGATGTCTATCAATACAAAAGCTTGGTGGGCCAAAGGTCAAGGCGGATATAAAGCCAAATAGCCCTTAAAGAGACTCTTCCCTTTCGATCCAGCTTGCAAGTAGCATGATGTTTGGCTTGACCTTTACTAGAACTCTTCCCTTTGTTGTCTACAGTCTCCTCGCTTATCCCTAATGAGTGAGTACGCCAGTGCGCTTTTTTTGAAGAATCGAGGTAACCTTCGACTCCAGCACTGAGTATCATATCTAAGATTCTTGGTCAAGCCAAGTAGCTAGTGCTAATACCAATCTGCCTACCCAGTGAATCCTCTATTGGAGAAACCTTTTCGTGAAGAAACTTAAATATCCCTCCAGTGATCATGGTGTATTAAACATGAGAGGACCCAAAGCATCGCCAGAGTAGATTGTATTTATCGAGGATTCGCGCATAAAGGCTCACAATTCGATATGCCCAAGTCACCAATTATATCTTAAGCAGATATCGGTTTCTGTTACGTGCTGCTGTACTTGTGAAGGTCGAAGGTGTCACTGGCAGGACGAACAGGGCAGTGCCAGGCACGTTAACAATAACAAAACGACGCACGATTGTATTAGCAGTGTTTCTATTGTTACCTTTTCTTGTTAAAGCATTCCTGAAGCATTCATTTCCCTGCAGCACAGCAACAACCCTCATTTGTATTGAACCTTTCATCCAAACACCATCTTTCAAAAGCTTCGAACACATCTCCTAGGAATCATCTTGACAACATACCTACCATACGCTCCCGACGATGGAGATCCCAGGTATTGACTTCATGAAGTCGCTAGAAGACCTTTTCTCTGAAGCTGGCGCGAATGGCCGTGACGCGAAAACCGAGTTTGTACACCTGCGTAGCAGCCTCATCGACTTCATCACTACTGTTAGCGGCGGCGGTTTGACTACTGCTAAAGCCCGAGCAAAATATAATCTCAAGTTCACTGATGGAACTGAGCCCGAGACGCACATTGCCTTCTTCCCATCGAACCACAATATTACAGAGAAGCGCCCTCAACTGGATGCTGCAACCACCGCCAAGGAGTTTATTGAGATCCTCGGCGCTCTCTTCAGTGAACAGAAGAGCCGAAGCCGCAGAAAGAGGAGATCCAATAAAAAGAGATCCAATACCACTCCGCCGGAAAGTCCTATGAACAACGCCCAGAAACGCCTTGAGGCAGACGCTGCGAACAAGACTCTGTCAACAACTGATGACAGCCCAAGAAAACGAATCAAGCTAAACACGAGCAAGAATAAAAGCGACGTCTCCGAACCTGCAGTTTTCAGCACTGCACATCAGTCAAAGGACAATACTCCCACTGAGTTTCCCAGTACTGAGAATACGGTCAACGATGACGGCACTAGTGTGCTGGTCCCTATGGACATCGATTCTGGCGCTGCCTCGTCTCACGACAAAGGAGAAGAGATGAACGGGGAACAGACACCGGCTGACGGGCAAAAACACCATGGCTCTGCTCTCGAGGGGCCTTCACAAGATCGAAAAGATACGCACATGAACGATGCCGACATCGAGACTTTACCTGCATACTGCAGGTCGGATATTCTTGAAGTTGTCGCAGCCGCAGAGAGGATCGAAGAAAACCAGTGGAAAGATTTCAAACCAAAGCTTCTCGAGATGCTGGGTCAAATGCACCAGGAGCCGACACCAGAGCAACATGAAAAGGCACTGAAGCGTCTAAGTATAGCAGTTGCCCAGACGGAGCAAGAGAGGTCTCTTATTCCCGTCGAAGCCTGGAAGAAGTACGAGGAAAAGCTTACAGATGAAACGAAGAAGGGTTTGTTTGATTGCTTGTGGTCTAGAAGGCTCTTCAAGGTCGGCAAGATCATCTACCTACAAGAGGAAGAGGTTGCCATGGAGAGCCAGTGCTGGGAGCGCCTTCGGGCCGCAGCCCGTATATGTGCGATCCTGATCGAAATGACTGCCAAACCAGAGGAACAGGATAACCAGAATGATACCGACCTGTGGCTTATTGAGAAACTTGGAGATATTAGCTTTCTGGAGAAGCTGTTTGCATGCAAGGAGCGGCTTGGGGCGATCAAGGGCACAGGAAGAGATTGAGTGATATGGAGACACTGGTGATAGGAAGCAGGGCCTGGATATAAGAGAAGCCAAACTTGTCGTCAAGATCGCTCGTCATTTGGTTCAAGGAAACTCGATGAGATATGCCCTGTAAGATACAACAGCAGAGGTCATTCAGCTAGGCCAAAATCGAAGACGATATAGTGTCTAAATTGAGAAATTGCTCGTTTTTTGAAGTTTCAAATGACTTTTATTGGCAGAGACGCAAAAATCTATATGTGCTTCAACAGTGGTTCCTCGGTTGTTGACATGGGGGAACAACGAGGTGAAGGGTTCACCAAGGCCCACGTGAACTCACGTGCACTCGCGTTTCTCAAACGCGTAAGATAGGCGCGACAATATTGGAATGACGACATGACCTTCCTTTCTTTGCTCAAGAGTATCTATTGACACCACTAGTGGCACTGTCTGTCATTTCACCCTTTCATTGTCAAAATCACAGCGTTTTTAGTATGCCACCTCGAAAACGTCCCGCTGATGAAATCACCAGCACTCGGCGAAGCTCGAGGAGAGTTTCCGCCACTAAAAGTCAATACTTCGAAGGCAGTGAGGATACAGAAGAAAGTGATGCGCCACCACCGAAGAAACGTGGAAGGCCTCCGAAGAAGCAACCTAAAAAAGAAGAATCCGAGGAACCCTACGAAGATGAGCTAGCGCAGGAGCCAGAAGAAGAAGAGGATGATGATGACGAAGATGACGAGGATGCGCCCCCAAAAGTTACTATCATTCCATTGGAGAAGTTGAGAGACACAGATGGTGTAGAATATGAAGATTTCAAATTACACAAGAATACGATGTTGTTCTTGCGAGACCTCAAAGCTCATAACCAGAGGCCTTGGCTGAAGTGTAAGACATCATCCTTCACTTACTGCCAAACCATTACTGACATGTATAGCGCATGATGGAGAGTATCGTCGCGCTTTGAAGGATTGGAACTCCTTTGTTGAGTGCGCGTCCGAAACCGTTATAGCAGCCGATGAAACGATTCCTGAGCTTCCCATCAAAGACGTCATTTTTCGAATCCATAGAGACATTCGCTTCAGTAAAGATCCTACACCTTACAAGGTACGAGCCCAATTGATCCAAAGTACAGTATGCAAAGTTAAAGATTATAGCCTCACTTCTCCGCTGCGTGGTCTCGAACTGGTCGCAAAGGCCCATACGCCTGTTACTATATCCACTGTGAGCCTAAAAAGTCTTTCATCGGTGGTGGCCTATGGTGTCCCAGCGGCGACCAAATGCAGAAACTCCGCGCCAGCATTGACGAAAGGCCAAATCGATGGCGCCGCGCACTCAATGATGAGGCCTTCAGGCGCATATTCTTACCAAAGGCTGCCAACAAATCTGATCCCAACGCGGCGCTACTTGCTTTTGCGGAAAAGAACAAAGAGAATGCGCTTAAAACTAAACCAAAAGGCTTCACGGCAGAACATCGTGATATTGCGCTGCTGAAGTTGAGGAACTTTACTGTTGGAACGCAGATCGACGACAGCATCTTCTACCAGGATGATGCCCAGGAGAAGATCAGCGAGATTATACGCCCTATGGTTGGATATGTAAGTTATATGTTAACATCACTGTTGAACAAGCTGACAAGCTTAGGTTTCGTTTTTAAATAGCATTGTCATGCCGGATCCTGGCCAAGATGACGATAGTGACGAAGATGAGGATGAAGGAGAAGAAGGGCCTAATGATGACGAAGACAGTGGTGATGACTAGTCAAAACCCATGGCTATTATACAGCCATTGGGTAAAATCTATATTTAGGGATGATGCAAGCGGATCTAACTGCCTATTTATTTAATCATATGCTTTATCATTTCATCTAACACAGATCGAACATAGCAACGCTAGGGTCGTGATCGCTGACCTCACCAGCCTTGTCCTGCCAAGTGTTGATATGCAGATGCTCATACTTGATACCCCTGCGCAACTCCTTGCTGATGTACATATGATCCAGAGCCTGGCAGTTGCTGTCGAAGAGATATGTGTATCGCTCTGTCTCAGGGATCTTGGCAGCCTCATCAACATCAACAAGACCGGATGTCTTGACGAAAGTCTCAAGGGGCGCAACGGCGGCGAACTCATTAAAGTCACCAGCGGCGATAACGTGGGCCTTCTTGTCCTTCTTGAGGATCTCTGCAATAAAGTTCTACAAGTTGTCAGTTGGGCTTCATGCCTAACAGGTTTCATACTTACAGCAGTAATTTCGGATTGCTTGGTGCGTTTCTCGACACCCTTGTTCACAGGAGTGCGGGCATCGCCATGCAGGGAAGTCGAGCCGCCCTTGCTGCCAAAGTGGACGTTGACAGTAAAGAAAGACTTCTTTGTGCCCTTGACAGGCTTCCATTCAGCCACGAGAGGCTTGCGGCTGTCATCCCAGGCAGGGTTGGCAGGGTCAATTCGTCCAGGGTTGTACTTGAGCGAGGGACCATCGAGAACGGCGTTAACGTCGTTGGGGCCACCCTGATTGGGCTTGACGAGCTCAACTCTATCAGGGCGGTAGAGATAAGCTTGGCGAATGTTACCACCGGGCTGGCCACCGTCCTCGTTGTTGTCAGGCTCGACCTCGGCCCACTCGTAAACAACACCGCTGGACTCCTCAATGCCATCGGCCAGAGCAGCGAGAGTCTGGTTGGCGGAAACGACACCGTCATTGGTAGCGCCACTGTTGTCCTGGACTTCCTGGAGGAAAAGCAGGTCAGGAGTTCGCAGCTTCTCAACGATCTGCTTGATGACAAGAGGCAAGTGGGCAGAAGCAGGGTTAAGGTTCTCGGTGTTGTAGTCTGCAACTGTGATGCCCTTGCAAGATCCCTTGCTGGTGAAGCTGACGGCAGGGTGCTCAGCGTTGGAAGGCTTGCTGACCTTGGTGGCAGTCAGGGGAAGAATGCGGTAGAAGCCAAAGGCGTATGAGACCACGCCAGTGATATCGCCAACGTAGTCGCCGAGCTTAGTATCATCAGGGTTCTTGGTTCCATCGAGAGGTGAGCCGATGATGATGGCCTCAGGGTTAGCATCTAGATTGTTAGCCAAGGAAACACTCAGATTGAAGCCTTACATACCGTTGCCGACCATGGTGAGACCGCCGTGCTTGTTCAGACCAGAAACCTTCCAGTTGCCCCTGACCCAGAAATCACCAAAGTTGTTGGGTCGGCTGAGAGCATACGCCTTGGGGACAGTGACAAGCTCGCCAACAAGACTCTCCCAAAAGTCAAGACCATATGTGTTGGGCTGCAGCTTGGGGTTGGACACCGAGATGAGAGACTCGTTGTTGGGAACAGCAAAGACATCGCCATCGTCAAGCTTGGAGAATTGCTTTCCAGGAGGGTTGCCGGTGTCCTTGCCAATAACCTTGGGCTTGAACTTGTTGTCAGAGGACTTGACAACAATGTTCTTGGGAGAAGAGATCTCAGTGAGATAAACATAGTCTTTGTTGGACCTGACTATGTTAGCAATGCTTCATGCTTGAGTTGGTAAAACTCACCTGTACTCCTCAACGAGACCATCGAGTGTGACGACGTCTCCCACGGAGACGCTGCTCACAGCCGACTTGCCAAAGACATATAGACCCTCGGAAGTAGCAGAGTTACGATCAGGCTTAGTTGATCGTAGATAAAAGCCAGAGCTGCCAACAGCCGTGACGAGGCCCTCTACACCAGTGACATTCTTCCCGGCGTAGGAAGAGAGATAGCTGTTGCCATTGATCTCAGCAATAGTCAACGCCGCAGCCAGAGGGCTGATGAGGGAAGAGACGAGGAATTGAAGCTTCATGATGAAGATGAGTTGAGAAACACTTGAACTGCCCTGCTCTCAAAAAATTATCGACAGGGCCGCCCTCAGCTATTTGTATTCACGATAACTAGCCTCCAAGACTTGGGCTACCTACCTATCCTGGGTTCACTCCAATTTGGCCCCGGCGCAAAAGACCCAAAAGGTCACCGAAATCGATTCCGCGCTGAAGTCTCTCCCCTTGGCAAAAGGTCTATCCCTATAATTTGCCATGGCCATAACCGTCCAGTATCGCCGCCAAGCCTCCAAATGCCCTATCGATCTGGCACGTTTATCTATGCGCCAAATCGGAGGTGGCCAGTCAGCGTCGATTGCGCGACCGCGGGGGGTTCACGCTTTGCCCTTTTTTGCAGGTCCCTTTGGAGGCCTTGTTGTTCTCTCGTCTTGGCCCCTGTAAATCATCAACACAATGGAGACACCTATTGGTTGACTTTGTCCTCGTGCAATCTTGCCAGAGAAAGAAGGAGCCGGAGATATTGTCTCAGGGAGCTATTTTCCGTCCTTTAACGGACGGAAGACTTGGCGGTTCATAGGAATTGCGGCAGTTGATTTATCATTCGTCCAATCGAAATCACTCAGGTTTCAGGCCAAAGCCATTGAAAAACAATAAATTGGATCATTGGTCCCAAGGATGTGAACGGGTATCTATCCAGCTAAAACTCCATATATCGGCTACCCGACTGGTTCTCTATAAAATCATGGCTTGCCAACAAGCTTAAACTTAAGGCTCTTTTTTAAACCAAGGCAACAAAGACTATCGAAGCGGGCCGAGGTAACTCCAATTAAAGACCTACAATTTGTCCTCAATCTCTATGACACGTGCATATCAATAGTCGGAGACCTCCGACGAACCCGGCGGGTTGCTAGGCATGGATAGTAACAGATTGGGCCCAAGATAGCGGGATGCCCCGTCTTTGTATGCCTCAATTGATGGAAATATCTCCGCTCAAAAGTGCGCTCTATCCAACCGCTGATACATAGCAGGCTGCGTCAAGAGCGACGTCCTGTCATTAAGGAAAGTGAAAAGTCCACCTCCTCATCACCGCACCTTCTGAATCCTAAACTCGATGCATCTAGGACAACTCAACCATTGTGGTCCATTGCGATGACTAACATTGATCCTTGGCCCTGAAATCGCAACGACTCAAACATCAGATCGGAAGCTGTTCTCGCTCATAGCCTGGGCTCTGTTCTTTACGTCGTGAGCTCTCAATGATTCGGTTACCGCGCTCAAAGCTCGGTAGCTGTATCGGGACCGATGTCTGGGTGGGGGCATTGGTTCTATCGTTTACCGTAATGACGGATACATTCAACCGGTGCTGGTGCCGGCATCGGGCCCATTCGTAATGGCGTTCTCCTTGCCCTTGGAGTCAGGCATATCGAGATCGCGATAAAGATTATTCTCGAAGATGTAACTGACTACAAGATCAGGAATCAAGTAGTCAATTGACATGTTACGTTTAAGCAATAGGCGAATCTTGGTGCTGCTGATGTCATTGGTAACGACCTGTACTATCGTTAGTATCACAATACTGACACAATTATTCGTAGAACATACCTGACGGATTATGTGAATATTCTTCTCCCATTGCTTCAGGTTTGCCAGGGTTGAATCAATTTCAGTTCCTGTACGCTCCAAAGCAAAAACGCCGTAGTTGCCCAGGATGTGGTCAAGGTCACGCTCGTCCCACACACCGGGAGTCGACATGGTCTGGATGAGATCAAGGCCAGCAAGGAGCACAATGCGGCAGCGCTTTCGAGTTCCGTCAGTGCATTCAACACCGCCCATGACCTCGTTGATCTCATAGTCAAAGTGATCAAGCACTTTGGCGGTTGGGATGTAAGTTGGGCTCTCAGCTTCCCAGGGGTCGACCATTAGCCACTTAGAACTGTTTTCGGTCGCAAGTCTACACATCTCAATCCGATGATGAGCAGGAGCTAGGCCCTTCTTTTTGTAGGCATCGCTGACTGACATCTGGTTAGTTCGGGCATGTTTCATCTGGTAGGACCTTCACTTACCAGGACTCAAAAAACCTGCAACAACTTCGAAATCTGATAAATGTCAGCGATGCTTCAGAAGCAATGAGCGAGCAACCTACTCTCATTGTGAGCATGGTCCCGAGCCATGGGGAACATCCGAAGGCTGCTCAAAAGTTAGCTAATGCTTGTCCAAATATTGCCAAATTTCGTGATTGTCCAATGGTCGAGAGCATCGACCTCGATCAGATGATCTGCCAAAAGAGCCAGAATCATTAGGGTAAGCTTACTGAAGATACGTGATTGGGCTGAAAGAGCCGCAAGCAACGAGACATAGCGGAGTTTTGTCTGGAGGGCATGATCGTTGGAAGCGGTGCGAGGGAAAGACGTAATCCTCCCTCGTGTGCTCCTTAACGTATTGGTAGTCGCAAGCCATTTCGACTATTGTTGTGTAGTTGATATTGGTTTCTGAGATGAGAGTGGCGGGTTGAGCGGAACGAGGGGTTTCGCGATCCGATGAGCAACAGCGGCCGGCGCCGGTAGTTGACGGCGAACGAAAGCGAGGGGCACGGCAGTATCGGCGCAGAGACCGAATTACGACCGGCTCGTTGAAAGTGGGCAGATCCGACCAGTTGCGGTGATTGAAGTCGTCGGGGTTATCAGGCGATGGTCGAAATAGAGATGTGGCAACTTCGCGATTGTCGTTGACTGAATACTGCGCAAGTCTGGCGAAATGGATAGGCGGGCGGCGATGGCGGGGGTTCCGAAATCAGCAAGTATTGCAAGTATTATGATGATACAGTAAGGGTTTCGCAGGTATTATCGCTTATTGGGTTGGGGCTGTTGGCGTGTAGAGAGGGCTCGAGTAAGTGAATGAGTGAGTGTGTTCGTATGGGCGGGAATGGAGAAGAAGCTGGAAGAGGGAAGTTAAAGTAGAAGAAAGAAGGTTTTCCTTACGGCCCTTCTGCGAGAATTGGATTCAAGTCTCCAGGCAGGGCAGGCGGGCATAGGCAAAGATGGTGGGCAAGTGCTGGGCTGCGCGTGCGCCGAGATCCATTGCCTTAACAAGGGAAATGTGGGACCACAGAAGCTATTCCCTCTGTTAGACTCCTGTGCTGAGCATTCTGGTAGGTCAGTTTCAGGCCCGCTAAAGAATCCGAAGCCATTCGAACCCCAGTCCCCAATCTTGGACAACCTGAGCCTGCCATCAACTCAACTGAATGGGAGTTACTGAACGCACAAGCACCCACAAAACACGAAAGTCCAGGCCTTTGACGCACCATTCGCACGCCATCGACCTCAGCGGAGTGCAACAAAGCCACTGTTTTTGTTGTGTTTTGTTTTGTTTTGTTTTGCTTTGGCTGTTGAAGATTTTACACCTGGTGGCGCCTGGAATGGTTAGTTTCCCCCATTGGCTCGTTCCCAATTCCCATCAACTACCACACTGGGAACCTCGAATTGTGTCATAATTCCTTACCACAGAACAGAATGCGGTTTTCTCTTTCTAATCTTGAACATGCTCCCTGTTCGCTTCAAAGGAACTCTTGATTACTCACTAAATCATTCACGTTCTAACTCTTAGTGGCGGGGTATGACGACGGCGATCTGAGCCACTCCACTAAGCCGGCTCGAGGGAACGTGATACAGGGACAGAGGGACATCAGTAGCAGCGTGAACCTAAGCTCTACGGTAGCACCAATAGGTTCCCTGTAAAGTTACATTGTCGGCCTTGGTTTGTGTTGAAACCGAAACTCATCGAATTGGTTGGTCTCTGGAGCTGTGCTGCATGCCGATAGCTTTCAATGGGTAAATCAACATGGTTATCAACCGTATAGCTACAAATCATAGTTTCCGTAAATCTTCAACATGCAGATCAAACTCAAAGCAAGATATCTCGGCTTGCTATGATGATGATCTGCTCCGTTTACAACTGACGGGATTTGCCATTCTCTGAGATTGGCCTGTCTTCCAGTCTGACTTCATTGCTCTGCCACGAAGATGTCTTTGTAAGCACCATGAATCAATCAGATTGCATACCGACGACAATCACTTTCATCAATCCCTGTCAGGAAATGCGGGGTGATTCTAGCTATCTTTGATTGTCAGAGCTCTTACACTGAAGGTTTCTCGATAGACAAATTACATAAATGATTGGCATAACTGTGTGATCTTTAGTAAGTTGAGCCGGCGGTGTCTTAAACCGCTCCGATCAACATCGAGGATTATCCATTAAATCTCTCAAACAGCAACTTATTATAGTCAAAGCTCTATTGCAGCAGTTGACTCCACGCTCATCCCTGGGGCATATGAACATGGATTTGCTTGGAGCTCCAAACGAGCTTTCTCCACCATTCTTAACGGCGTGCTGTTGACTCGTGATTCAAAAATGCACCGCATCTCGAATTTAGCACAGCCAATTTGCATGCTCTGATTTTAAAGGGAAAATCAGATCATGGTCTCCTAACGATATGGATAAGTTACGTGCATATCGTGCCCTTTGGCGGAGAAATAGGAGAAACTCCTACGAGATTGACCAATTTTATGTTATTTGATTGGCATCGAACCACCAGTCAATCACAAGAAATGACAGTAGCAATAGGGTCAAAGTTAACTTCCTGTGCATTCGGCCAAGTCCTAACTTACACTCGATCTTTTTCTTTAAACCCGCAGCTGAACTATCGAAAGTCACAGACAATAGTATTCTACGCCAAGAATTCGTATTAACACCAGGTGTTTTCTCTTTTAGCCAGACGGTTTCAGACGACAGCTCGCCTCGTTGCTAGTCAGACGCCGAGAAAACACGCATGTCTCTGAGCTACTTAGCGGACCAATTGATACTTTGAAGGGAGTTAAGAGAGGTCCACTGTGGCCCCGGCTTGAAGCTGTCTCTGCCACGATACTCCGTAGTGCTGCGATGGATGCATTTTAGCCTTTTTAGGTGAGTGATGGGTCCGGAAATCGCATTTCCTCCCGCCGACAGCGGAAGCTTACAAACTCGGGAACTCGGAGTCATTATCAATAATATCTGACCCGAGGAAATAGAGGCTTCGTGGTGCTCGTCGGAAAAGAACCATCCATCTAGACAAAGTCAAGAGATAGGCAGTGACTTGAGACTGGGGAATGTAGTTATGGGAGGATATGTCGATAAAAAGAACCGCTTTGAGCGACTTCGGGACCATTGAAAAGAGAATATCCAGTAGGAGTCAACTATTGGGACAAGTTTTCGCTTTCAGAGTCTCTTGGTTCGTGGCGGCTATGAGAACCCTCCTGGTTACAGTATGCGAGAAAAGATGAAATACACCGTGACAACCTATTACAACTTTAGTTTGCACATCTATCAGAGGCTATAAAGTTCTACGATTAGGAGCATATTCTCATAATGTTATATATTTGCTCAATCTATCACAACTTTGGCCTTACTTTATGCACAAGTTGAAGAAATCAACAAGGGATATATGTATTCCGCTTTCTCGGAGCCCGAGCCTTGGCCATGACCTTTATCCACTGTTTACCAGATCAAGGAAAAAGCCAAATCTTCCACTTGAGCTTAATAATATTAGATTTATAAGTCTCTCCGCCATAGACAAAGAAATCCGAGTGCGGATCCGCAACCTCAAGCGTGGGGATGTGGGACGAAGCGTAACTCCCGAACATGTTTGCGGGGAAACGAAGTCATTAGATTAGACGACTAGCTTTTACCAATTTATTCTTGATTCAGGAGATCCTCATAGTACAACCCAGTTTTGTTTTCATTTGATTATGTGACATACGCGGCGTTGATCTTCTTTGCTAGGTCTATGCTCGTAATGAGAGGCTGATGGAGATCAAATCCAATTCAAGAAGCTGAGCTCTTCTCCTCAACCCCAAACTTGACTCACTCGGCAGTGGAACGCTCCCCGCAACTAGAGGCAAACTGCAGGGAACATGGGGTTTGGCCCTACGGTACTTCTTCGACAGTCCTTTGCACCGCCGTAAGCTAACATGAACCTCCGGCGGGCCGAGGTGTGAGACATGTGCTCAGGGAAACAGATGAGCCGGAACCAGTAAAGTACTTCAATTTGTATGCTACAGTCCTCAATATCCAAAGTCCTCCCAGACAACCTTCTCTCCCAGCAACCAGCCTTCCAGTGCAGCCAGCAGAGCTGGCGCTGTGCACAGAAAGAAACGGGCGTTTTGGCCCTTGAGTCTCTCGACATCATCAGCGGTTATTCGTCGCTTTACTACCCGTGTCCCAGCCTGCTCGACCTCCTCCAACAAGTCCACCTTATCCCGCTGACCAGTGACGAAGAGTGTAGTCACATTGGACAGCCCTGGGATTCTCGAGAACGTGTCAGTCGCGAGCGGTAAGTCCTCGTAGCGTAGAGTCCAGAGCAGCGCAAATGGAGCTTTGTGTTGAAGTACAGCTGGTGCTTGTGCAAGGACAGGCGTAATTCCTACACCAGCGGCGATAAAGACAGATTGAGAGCCATTTGATTCCAAAGGGATGCGGAAACCCTCTTCGCCGCCAAAGCCAATCACTGGTATCTCCAAAGGCACACGAGGGTTGTGCTTTCTCAGGAAGTTCGTTACCGGGCCATGTTTCCTTGTTGTGATTTGTACCTCCTTACTGTTCTCTGGTGGGCTTGACACAGTAAACGTTCGAACGTAGTCATCGTTGATACTTTGAGGATCATGATCGGCCATGTGACTGTAGCCACTCGACACTTCCTGCTCAAAGTCCAAGGTGATATACTGTCCTGCGTGCCATGCATTGATAGGCTGTGTCGAAGATAGCTCAAAGGTGTATCGGTCAATGGACGGCGTAAGAACTTCGCGCTTAGTTAAGCTTGCCGTGATACCATTTGATGATGCATCGGCAATATGTGCATCGTGCTCTGAGAGCAAGTGACGGACAGGAGGGTTGTAAGGCGAGTATTCGCCCAGCGCACCTCGGAAAGGTAGTCCCGACTTGACGAACTTTGCGGCAGTAATTGAAATCTTGACGGCAAGTTTTGTTCTTGCAAGATAAGAAGAAGCCTCATCACCAACAAGTATCGATGCGCTGCCCGTGGCATAAAGAACGTTGGCTGTGTTGTAATCTGGAATAGCGATGCCAACCAGTGGATTCACTCTGAAGTTGCCGAGTGTCTGATATAGTCTATTGCCAGAGACTGATACTTTATTAGCGTTGTTCATAATATAGGAATGTCAAACTCACATTCTGGATATATCAGTTCCAGCCCGCCGTCTTCGTTCTTGATAATCCTCATGAACCCAGGACTTCCTCCACGATGATTTGTATCCATTGTGACCCCATTTGTGCTCGACAAGAAGAACATGTCTGCCGCTGCAACCAGATCTAGGGCCTCCTGTGACAAGGGCAGCTTGTCCGAGACAAGCTCTGGTGCCATATCATTAGGCACAACATCCTTCTTGTTGAGATATTTCGGACAGTTGCCCAGGCTCTCGGTCACAGCCATGGCCATCTGTACTGCCCTGCCTTCCTCGACTGTTGCACCAGCAATCATGTTTCCTACCAGCTTCACGCGATCTCTGGTCTCCAGGTCGATAGACAGTCCTGCCATTCCCTTGCCTTCGCCTCCATTTGGCCTGTTAATGGCGCCTTGTTTCACGCCGTCGTCATCAATCCCGTCCCACAAAGCTCTAAAAACAGGATCATGGCGAGTATCAACTGAGCTGTTAAACGCGAGTACGCCTTCAGCTACTGGCCTCGCGAAGCCCCGGTCTCCGCCCCATACTGTAGTCCATGGGCGACCCTCGCTATCTAGCGTTCCGAGAGCTACCAAGGGCGACTGCATCACTCGCATGCCATATTGGGGTGCTAAACCTGGAAACGTTGGATTTCCTCTTGTAGGGACTTTGAGTTGCTTTTGCACGGCCAGTTCGCCATCGTGCCATTCTGATGTCGCCGAGGGCATATTGTTCTGAATAAAGGATCCGTATGACTGTAGTAAATGACTTTGAAACGCGTATTGTAAGCTCAGTGCAAGACTGGGGAAGAGTATGTTCAGAAGAAAGAGCTTGGTCATGCCGCCCTTTAAAACCTTCGACTTAGTCAATTCTCTGTCATCAGTGTATGTCAGCAACCAAGATTGACTTCCTGCTGTCGACAAATCGTCAGCCGTGGACTTTTCTCTTTTAAGGGCGTAGTTGACCACACTGCAGGGTTGCTCACGACATTAGCACGAATAATAAGTAATCAGAACGCCCAAGTCAGCGTGGCAACGCCACTCCCTCCAACATGTCATCTATCACTTCTATTCAGGCTTCTTATGTTAAAAAGTCCACCTATGGACATGATATTATTGATTCGTGATTCATTAATAATCCAATACATTTGATATAATCATTTACCAACCCCCTGGTCTTTGAGATTCGACGTCATAGTTATAGGGAGGAGCCCTTTCAGGTCTCGCAGATGCTGCACGAGGCGGCATTGGGTTCGTCAAGTTCCTTTGTGGAGGTCCCCGAAAAGGCACTGGCCCTGTGGCACTTCGTACTGGAGGATTGAAGGGCCGTTGCATTGCGGCTCCGCCCTGATGAGAGTTCACAGATGATGCAGTGCTCATGCGACCCCCAGGATTGTAAGCTTGGTATTGGGGTGCCTGGGTTGAAGGAAATGTTCCCATGGGCTGCGAAAAGTTATCCATAGGGCGAGCGCTGGGAGCGCGAGTCGAGGGAGGGAAGAAAGGTGCCATATCAGAGTTCATTGGGCCAGGGCTCTCTGTAAATCGACCAGGAAGAGATGTTATTGGGTCCATTGCCATTTGATTTGCAGGATAAGGGCCAAAGTTATCATGCCTGTCTGTGATAGATCGGGGCTGGGTGTGTCCCTGGTAGTTAATGGGAGGCACATCAGGCACGGGGGATGCAATCCGTCCATATCCACCTCCAGATCTAGAAGTGGCTCGGGATGCGTAGCTCGCGATAGATGCCGTAGTGCCCTGTCTAGACGGCACAGTTCGTTCTGAAGCTGGGGGTGCGTTCTCCATGCCACCTGGCGTACCGGGGCGTGAAGTGTAAGGCGGCAGTGTCATCATGGTGTCGTTACGGTTGAGCATTGGTGGGTGATCCATCTTGGTGACTGGGCCAACGTTTGGCAGAGTGGGTAGGGTGGCAGCTCGATCGAGGTGAGGCTTCTCTCCATTCTTCTTGGCCGCTTTGACTTCAGCCTTGAAGCGGCTGGCCTCCTCCCTAGCTAGAGCTTTGTTGACCGTCTTTGTGACAATCTTCATCAACGCCTTGGTGACCTTCCGCTCGCAGTATCCAGAAAGACCACCGTCGGCTGCAGGAATCCAATGGTACAAAAAGAATACCCAAAACAGAACGGCTGCCAGAAGAAAGAGCGCAGAAAACACCCAGATAACCAGAGTGAAACACATTCCCGAGAGGATAAGTGCCTGTTGATAATCTTCTTCGGCTAGGATCTTGATTTTCTCAAAGAATCCAGTAATGGAGTCGCCCACATTGTCTGCTGTAGGCGTCAATTGTGCCTCATACACTGACTTGAGTGTGAAAGCATTGAGAACCTGACGAGGGCCTGAGCAGATGATGACTCGGATCCAGGCTATAGAAATTAGTAAAGAGTGATTGATAAGTTGACGTGTAAGGCTACCTTGAAAGTTGAAGTATGTGAAAAGCGCAATGTATTGTGCGCCTTCTTTACTTTTGGTGAGTTCAGCAAAGACTAGGAATCTTTTCCAACCTTGCGAACCAAGTCGAATTGATTCCCATCGAACAGCTAAGCTATCAAGATAGGATTCCGCAACATTGCCTCGTCTGATAACCCGAAAGGCGCGGAAACCCTCGTAAGCTAGGTTGATGAATGAGAGAATAATGCAAATAGAAAAGATCCATTTCGTGACGTCGAAGGAGATGGCAGGATCGATCTTTGAAGACCAACGATCGAACACGAGTAGATTGACGGCAGTAAAACTGTCAACGACATAGACAGCAACTGAAACGAGAAGCATAAGCCACAGGTAGATATAAGCAAATACAGTTCCGCATCCGCGGCTTTTAAAGTCGCGAAGATTGATATATTCCCATTTCTGGTCAGCAATCCCCACAACCTGCTTCTTCCTGTTTCCGCAGCAAGTCATGATGAGAACTGTGAGAGTCTTCAGAGGCTATTTCGAAAACAGAGGTCGTCGGTGGGTATAAAGGTTGTCGAGTGACAAGATATCGGGGTACTTCGCCAGCGAAGACCGAATACACAGCTATCAAAAGAAACAGAGGCAAAAACGTCGAAACATAAACTGGAAAATAAGCGATCGTGATAATTTCGTGCTGCAACCGGTGCGCGATAAGTGAGGGTTTAGTGTAAAGTTGAACGCATGGCTGTCGTTGATAATGTCGTATATACTTTCGATTAGATAGATAGGTTTTGTTGTTCAAGAAGAGAAATATTCAAGAAGGTATCTTTGAGTGATGAGTGAAATTGGTAATATGGTAGGTTTCAATAGAGGACAATAGCCATATAAGGATGGCTGTTCTCGGTGGTTGGATGACGATATGTTGTTTGAGATTCGAGACAATGGAATGAAAGAGTGACGAAACCGACACGAAAGAGACTGTACTGAAGCCAACAAAGGAGCCGTCAAAGCTGTGACAAGAACAATTACTGTACGGAGTACAATAGCAGTAGAAGGCTGGAAGATGAATGAAAGAGTGTCTGGAACAATGAGACAGAACGGAAATGAGTTTGGGAGGTTTCAAATGGGGGGCTAGTTAAATCGCATTATTATCCAGCATTGACTTGACTTCAAACAGGAAGGAGCGGAGATCAGCATCTATAGCAAGTCCAACGCTACAAGAACCCTGGCCTTTAGTGGCGCCATTGCCTGCAGGTACCAAACGCCAAACGTTGGGAGCATTATCTTGACGGTGCATCAAGACCAATGATTGGCTGTGGAGGTGCTGCGGCGCGGAAGAAGGCCACCATCAACAAGAGCCCAGTGGTTACGAACCTATTGCCTCTGTCGGGCCTTGGATGGAGAAGACTGGGCATTGCCGCTGGTGTTCGCTCATTTCTCTTGTTTCAGTGGCTGGTGTTCTTTATCCTCCAACCGCCAACTGGAATCTTGACGGCCCAAGAAGACGGCGCGACCAATCCCACAGCGCCAGACACTAATAGCGAATCAGCACGATTAGCCGCCGTGTTCAGCGGTAATAATACTGGATAATAACAAAGCCGTGTAACCAGAACCGACAAGAACAGCACATTATCAAATGGAACCTGGATCGGTGCTCCCGAATTCTCGAGTTTCAGCGTGGTTGCATCGCAACAAATCCCCCAATTCTCTCGGGTCACTCGAATGGGTGAAACATGCTAACAGTGGTCGGGTTGCCTCCCCCGCGTCAATCCATGCCATAAGCACCGAGACTGTTGCACACAAAGCCCAGAGCTAACTTGGTCGCAATCTTGGGTCGTCGGCATTTTGGAAACCCGCTTGTAAATCTTCATTTCCCGTGAACATCATAAACTCACAATCACTGGCATCACATGAGCTGACAAGACGAGGTGCCTCGTCGATCAAAGAGCTACCGCAACTTGCCTCGGTTACTTCAACCACAGCCACAATGATAATTACCGATTGCTGGCTGCTGACTGCTTCAAATATTGAGAAATAACGCAATTGACGGCAGTTGGTCATTGTGGGCTGAGCGTTCACCCATGACATTATAAACTTCCACTCACACCTTTTCTTTGTTCGAAACAACTCTAAAAGGGTCGTGCGAGCAATGGTCCTATACATGAGACTATGCGCTACTCCCCGCTATTCACATCAGTGACTGACAAGATCAGACGTCTCTTTGTTTGGATGGCGCAAATAACATCGCATTCACTCAGGACAAAGGAATGAGGCATTCATTGGCTTCATCCAATATGTGGCAGAGTTGGGTTCTTTGTTGTCTGTTCCCGTTCCAGAGACGGCGGCAGAGGTTATGACAGGAGGAATATTTACTCTCAGGAACATCCTGAACATTTCATCTGCTACATCTTTCTCTTGTCTCAAGTGAACATCACCGCCTTCGCCACCATCATGACTTCCGGATACTCGTCGAATCCCGGAGTCAGGATGTTCAGTAGTCCCGCCACAGAGGTTGAGAAGCCAGCATTCGAGCTCCTCGAGCAGGTCAAGAAGAACGTCTGGATTGTTACGAGAAAGGGGGACCCGCGACGGGAGAAGTATCTCGCCAGTCCTAGCAGCCCCTTCGGAGTGAAGCCTGATGGGACTGTCGATGTCACGCAGACACGTCGAGAAGCTGAGGCTCTCAACACGCTCCTGTCGAGTCATAATCAAGCCTACACTATCCGTCAGATCCTCAATCACGAAAACCTCGTCTCCATCGTTGGCGTCATAGAAAATTGGCCTTTCAACAAGTCACAAACATCTGACGTTACCCCAGGAAACAATGTTCAGATGCTCGTCTGGGACTTTGGTGATGCTGGTAACCTCAGCGCTTTGTTCCGCCATTATCCCTGTAAGAGTTCTGAGTTCTATCTACCAGAATCTCTCTGTTGGCACGTTCTCCGTTCTTTGATTCGCGCAGTGACCTATCTCCATGACGGGAAACGGCTCATTTACCGACTCGAGCAACTTGGTCGTCACATGGTCAGGGAATGGGTCTCTGTCAACACCGATTGGTTCCCAATTCTGCATCGTTGCATCGAGCCTAGGAATGTCTGGCTTCAGCATCCTCGAGGCAATGAGACCTATGGCCAATGCAAATTAGGTGATTACAGCCACGCAGCTGTCACATGTCACATCGTGGATGGTCAATTCAATCCTGACACTGTTCGCTCAGATTCGAATGGGATGGCGTTGGCTACAAAGGAGGGGATTTGGCGACTGGATGATACTCGATCTGCCTATGATGTCCCCCTAGCGTCGATTCCGAACGAGGTAAGAACCCAATGCTGGTTGAGACTTGCCATCAACTCACATGATGTAGGAAGATCGACCCTATACCCTCGGGGATGAGTTGTGGTCTATTGGGGTGACCGTTTTCACCATGATGACTGGCCAGGCTCCAACTTACTACTGTGAGGGATGCGGTTGTTCACATGTCGCTTTCTGCGAAGACGGTGGCTGTCTGGAGAAAGAGGCCGTTGCAAAAGGATGTGACTGTTTCCTTGGTGGTTGTGAGCATGTGAGTCAGAGGGAATGTAGGGAAGAGGTCTCAGGGTGGCCGGGTTGTCCAGCTTGGCATAATTGCTCCGAGTTCACCATCAACATTCATTCGTACCTAGCAAGAGCTCGTTACACCAAACCATTGCGTGCCATGATCATGGTAATGCTCGGGTACAACCCTGCACGGGGAGATGACCCTTGGGTTCGAATGGTAGAGGTTGCGCAGATGGTGGAGCTCGCATATGGACAGTGGAAGCAAGAGACAGAGGAGGGGAGACTTTGCGTGGATGCTGAGGATGACATGCTTCAGAGGGCTACGAAATGAGAGGGCGGGAGATCATAAATGAGTGTAGCAGGCTCTTGTCGCCATTTACTGTTTCTTATTACTAGTACTCTTATAAATTTAGATAATTTCTTTGGATACCTCGCAATAATCACGTTCTTTCTCATGGACCTTGAATTAAACGTTCAGCAATCAAAGAGCCAATGATCTTACACGACTGCATGTCAATTCACAGAGCCAATGAGATAAAACCAGTCACAAGCTCTCCACTTCGGGCGCCCCGCCATCAACAAGGCTTGAGCAAGTTGAACCTGGCCTGGACCTGAGCCGTTTCCCCATTCCACCTCAACATCCATCAAGGCTTGACTCTTCTTTTCTTCCAAACAACGAGCGGATCTTTTCTCGTTCTTGTACAATAATCTAGCGCTATTTCCCTATCTATCGAACAACCAAGTAATTCTCTGGATTCAGGAAAGTCCGCAGAGGCTAGCTTATCAATCGCCAATCATTCAATTACCATGTCCATCTCCCACCCAACGCCTCCTCTTCTCCTCACAAAGCGCCTTACGGCCTTTCTCAACGCGAACCGAACTCCCCAGCTTCCCACGCTTCTTCTTACAAGCCCTCACGGCAAGCTTCTCGCACACGCAAGCCCTCATCCCGTAGCCGCTCTCCGAACACATGCTACCGTCGCTGCATCCCTCCTCGCCATACACTCCACCTCGGCACCTGCCCTCGCTGCGTCTCTACCCGGTTCTCGCACACCCGATCCGATCGGAAGCTCGCCACCTGAAGAGGATGGCCTCGAAGACGAGACAGATCGATTATCACAAAGTCAGCAGCTCGACTCACATAAGTCTGGCAAGGGACGGGGCATCAAGCCTGCTACTGTCACGGTTCAACTTACGAGCGGGACTGTCGTGATCCGTAGGTTGAAGTGCGGTCTTCTCTTCGTCTGCGTGGGACCCGCCAACCCAGATGTCACAGAGCATGGCGTGCCTAATGTGCATGATCTCCATGTTCCCACTGGCGAGTCCTCTCATGTTGGCAGTCCAGATGGAGCAGACAGTATTCTGAGCACTGGTGGACAAACGACAGCTAGTCTGGAGAGCAACGCAGGCTCTGCCGCTGCAGTAACTGCCCTTCGCCGTCATGCCACTGAGCTAGCGCGTTGGCTTGACGACAAGCTTGGTACGCTCACAGTTCCAGAGGAGGGTGTTGGCGTGGAGTAATGGCAGCATGTTTGGTACAAGCGATTTGGCATAGACGGCGTTGGAATTTCTTATGAGGGATAATCAAGGAGTGATCTGAGAAAGGCTTCTTTTTAGGCGTTAGGGGCCGCCTTTTACAGAGACGGCATTTATATAATCAGAGACATTGATGATACCTAATATTTTCGCCCAATACGAGGGTATTAGAAATAAAAGCCGCTTCCAGAGGCTGGATGTTTGAAGACCCCATACCAATCCATTCCTAAATAACGCCATAGCTCATAACGCCTCCATATGCTTTTAGTTTCATGGTCCAAAGACTCGAATCCTCCGAGGCACTCCAATATTTGCAACAGAAAGAAACAGGCTACTCTATACTCATACGCATGATCCCATCATGAGTATCAATCATTCCTTGGAAACCAACCCGGCCTTTGCTGTTAAGTCGTCCAGCCGCAGAGCTACTGCCGGATAGGTTTCCTGGTGTGCTGCCGGCTTCGCTTGGTGCACTACTGCCGGCCTTATCGCCGCCGTTACTACCGGGACGAGAACCCCACGACATACCGTCTCGTTGGAGTGGACTCTGCATGACTGGTGAATTGTGAACGCTCATCCCAGGGCTGACAGCTCGACGTTTGAAGCTAACAGGATCAAAATCATCGTCCCGGCGACGTTTACTGTTAATTCTTCGAGTTATTTCTGCAGCACTTGGTGGTTGAGTACCGCCATTCTGCGGGGCCCAAGTCATTAGTTTGTTGTTTACTTTGACCAGACAAGGATGCACTTACAGTAGCTCCACCAACTGACGGTGAGTCCATCGCCACGTCTTCGCTGATACCTGAGGATGAGCCTCGAGGAAGAAAAGCGGCAGGAGGCGGTGTGGTTCTCGCACCGCCAGTGCTACTTGACTCAGAAAAGGTGTCCCAAAACGTCTTGCCTTTTGAGTTCTTGATAGCATGTTGCTTAAAACTGCTAGAGAGACCCATGGATATGTCGCCCATGATATCGTCCTCGGGTACGTCGTTCAGGCCTTCTTGCTGTGTCAAGTTGGGTGAAGAGGGTGCTGTTGTTGATTGAGTTGAATCCAAGGCCGGTTGTGGGATCCTGGGCTCAAGCTCCATGTCGCAATCACGAACCTGTTTAACAACTTCGGCTTCTCGACGAAACTCAGATTCGGCAGGAGTGCTCTCTTCCATGAGCGCAGCACGAATGCGTGCGAATCCTTTTGTCTTGGGCTGTACCGTATTAGTTGCGCGCTCGTATTAATCCGATATAAGTGACTTGCCAAAAGATTTCCCCGTCTTGTTACTACCCTCCGAATGACATTGCGCTGCCCATCTCCAAGCCCGTCCACATCGCCCATTGCTCGTGTCTCATCGGAATCTGCACCAGAAATGTGCAATTGATTAGCCTGCCAACTGATGCTCTCGCGACGAGCCCGAGAAGAATTAGTTGGTGGTGACTTGGATAGAGATGCACCGCTGAATCCCAGTCCCAAAGGCCCACGAGCCTTCTTCTTGGCTTGTTTGCGGGGTCTTTGTCGCTGTTGGAAACTCATGAGGCTGCTCATTGCAGGGGATCCAAAGGTCCCACCAGACCCTTGGGGACCGAGAATTGGACCAATCTTATGGACCTGCGGAGTTGTTACGTAGGTCTCATCCATATCCTCGTCCATCAGCTCATCGTCATCTGAGGTACTTGACGAATCAGAGCCAATCGCCTGGCTCCCAAGCGAGCTGCTGATGTGCATCTTTTCCTGATTACCCATGACTGACCATAGAGACGTCGATGTTTGTTCGGGGCCTGCATAATGACTTCTTCGGCTCGGTATGTTCATTGCCCGGCCACCAGCGGTGGGCGATGAGTCGGGAGAAGACTGTTCGGCGAGGGTCGAGTGGTGTAGGCTGGTAGCGGCGCGAGAAAAGTCAAGACCGCGGGAGCGACGAGGAAGTATATTGGTAGGAGATGCATATATCTGGGAGTGGTCCAGTTTAGGTGATAAAGGTGCGGGTTTGACGTATGAGTTCGCGGCTGGTGGAGTAAATTCTCGAGGAGGCATCTGTATGGAAAAGCCACGGTTGGAGAAGTTTGGGCGTCGGGGCGTCACTGGCTGAGGAGTGGGAATACTTGTGTCGTCTTTTGATGTCCGTCGAGATGCCTCGACGATGCGTGGTGAGGGAGAGAGTCGAGAGGGGGTTCCTCCTCCGTCGGACATGGACCGCGTTTTCGTCAAGGGCGACCGAGCCTGGGTTTCCTGCAATCCAGTAACTTCCTGATATCCAACAGCCTTTAAATCGTCCATGATGGCCGAGTCCTCATATTCACCCGCAGTATTTCGGAAGCGATCCATGATGGCTAAATTGTTGCTTTTGCGGAAGGTTGCGGTTTCGAGTTGGCGGTCACTATTGCTAGCCTTGAACGTAACTTTGAACAAGGGGCAATAGCTGAGATGAGAATAAAAATATCATGGCATTACATGCTGTGATGCGGTGAGTGTTGAAGAGAGAAACTGTAAAGAAAGGGCGTAAAGTCAAAGAACGCGAGGTATTGCGATGAGTGGGCGGCTACTACTAACTGTAGCAAGCTTGAGTAAATAGAAATCCATCTCTTTTAGGTTTGGCCGCCCAGGGCCGCTAAATTAGTTCCACAGGCTGTTGGCGGCTGAGAACGGCCCCGCAAGGCGCCATCAGCGTCAGCAGTGAAACCTTGAATCGCTCATCGACATGGATACGACTATATTATTATACCTTGTTCTTGATTTTCATGTTTTCATGAGCATGGCTGTCCCTATAACGGAAACAGTCCACCAGGTATACAGTCTGGCTTCGAATATGTACAGTTTACCTTGAGTTTATGCGGCAAGGTACAAGTCTGCAGCACTCACAACATGCGTACGGCAGTTGGCCTAGGTTAATCTTGACGACATATTCGGTAAAGGTGCATAAAACTGGGTGTGCTTTGTACGGTTCATACAATTGGAGGCCTGTATCGTTGGTATATGGGAATGGGCAGTATAATATCAACTTTTCCTTTAGGTCAAGCCAAGCAATAGCTTATCATATTGACTAGCGTGTACGTTGTTCGAGATTATTATAGTACATACCGCTTGTTGAAACTGATGTCTTTTCTTACCTTCAGAACACAGTGAGGGGTCGAGTTGAGATCTTATAACAATACCTAGTCAATGGACCTTAGTTATGAAACAATGCACCGTCGCGGCATTGGGACAAGGAAATACCCACACCCAAAAAAGACCAGTTTCTCCCAGAAGGCGCCTGTAACAGATAGGTCGTTTAATTATTCAGTTCCGAACACCTACATTGTAGTTCCGAGCGCAGCCAGAAAGAATATGCCTCCAACCTACCCTACACAAGAGCGGGTTAATCAGTTTTGAACTTATGGTGTCTCTTTCATAATCTACAACTACAAGAGAACTGACGGAGATCCTTTGATAGAGTTTAAAATCAAATAATTGTAGATGACTGTGTAGTGCTATTGAAATTGTGATCTCTTTGCTTCCATGAATGATGCTTTGACGTCAGAGCGAAGTGGGGTTACCAAGTGGAGGGGCATTACCTCAACATCAGTTCCGGCTATCATCATAAAATCCAATAACTTCTCACAGATTCATACTGCACAAAAAGCTCAATGAACTTTGCAAGAGCCGCACAGCGCATCAAGTCCATTCAAAACTTTCTTACTAGACAGACAGTTCCCCGTATTCCTGTACCTGCTATTGCTGCTGGACAATCCAGGTTAGTCACAATGGCTTCAACTACAGATACCAAGAACTACAAGTTCAACCACTCAATGTAAGTGCAGATCTTCATGCATCTTCGGTGCGAAAGTAGTTGCTAACTCGGTTCAAAAGGATCCGAGTCAAGGACCCCAAGGCTTCCGGTATGTCAGACACCTTGATGTCCACAGCCCTGATCATCAAGCCTCATCTTAAGCTTAAATTGAACAAACTCACTACTTGTGCGAATATTGACTCAAATGCAGCTAAATTCTATGAATTCCTTGGCATGAGCCTTGTGAAGAAGCTCGAATTCCCTGATAGCAAATTCGACCTCTACTTCTTCGGCTACGACTCTCCTAATGCCCTGTCACACAACAAGAGCACTTTTGACAGGCAAGGACTTATCGAGTTGACTCACAACTACGGCACTGAGGATGATCCTGAGTACAAGGTGAACAACGGTAACCAAGAGCCTAACCGTGGTTTTGGCCACACCTGCATTGCCGTCGACAACATCCAGGCCGCCTGCAAGCGTATTGAGGATGCTGGTTATAAGTTCCAGAAAAAGCTGACAGATGGACGCATGCGAAACATCGCCTTTGTACTTGACCCTGATGGCTACTGGGTCGAGGTCGTTGCCAGAAATGATTACAAGCAGACAGAAGATGTGAAGGAGACTGATGTGTCTACCTACACTATGGTTTGTTCACCATTCTTGTTGATCTTCTAGAATTTGTAGCTAATGATCTAGAACCACACCATGCTTCGTGTCAAGGATGCTGAGAAGTCCTTGAAGTACTACCAGGAGGTTCTTGGCATGTCTCGACTGCGCACCCTTGAGAACCCTGAGGCCGGCTTCAACCTCTACTTCCTTGGCTACCCTGGCGATCAGCCTTTCCCTGAAGGTCAGGATGAGAATACTATCACCCATCGGGAGGGTCTTCTCGAATTGACATGGAACTATGGCACCGAGAAGGATGAGAACTTCCACTATCATGATGGTAACAGCCAGCCTCAGGGATTTGGCCACATCTGTGAGTTAATATCTGTGTAGGAGAGCAGACATGAATCTGACAAATTTAGGCGTTTCGGTTGACAACATTGATGCGGCTTGCAAGCGATTCGAGGATTTGAACGTGAGCTGGAAGAAGAGACTTACAGACGGCCGAATGAAGAACGTTGCCTTCTTGCTGGATCCTGATGGCTACTGGATTGAGCTTGTACAGAATGAAAAGTTCTCTGGCAAGGAGAACTTCTAGATGCCCAAACTTGCATATTCTATAACAACGGAGTGTTATATCTCAAGATTGAGAAATCAAACTTAGAAACGATGTCATGAAATAAGGCATCAAATCTACGCATACTTAGCCGCATAAGAAGGAAAATGAAGCCAATCAGCATAATATTGCAGAACGAACGATGCACAATGTAAAAGGCGTGGGGCAAGCAATTGATCTCCGGTCGTTTTTTCCCACAGCTTAAGGCTCTCATCGTACAAATAGTCATCTTGTACCTTGATAGTTACAGTGATATCAATTTCTGTCGGAGGCCAATTACTTAATAGCGCCCTTCAAACAGAGAATCGCTTCGACGATATTGATCCAGGCATTTGTGCACATTGAGACTATATCCCAGGTTGACCGGTGAGCCATGTTGCCGTGTTCTCGCTCAGCATGCACCAGATCAGCGTGTCCAAAGCCACTGGACTTCTTTGCCCGGCAGACACGGGTCGTTTCTAGCGGTGGCACTGGAATGCTTGTGTTATGTACCCCACGACGGGCCGTGGCTTGCAGTAGTTGAACATGGAGAAATGAGGGGTTGCAGCTTAGGCTGAGTCTGAGATACAGGTGCCACACCAAAGCTCAAGCTCAAGTTCCATGGACATTGATGGTTACTCTCTTGGTGCCCCGCCATATCCTGTACCGTGCCGTAGTACTCTGACGGTAATCACAATACTTCACTCGCTGAACGAGCTTTACGCGCGCAGATGAACCACCCCCGCGCCAGAGATCACTGCCTCCGTGGGGTGCTTACATGGGAGGACAGACTTCTGCATCTCAATCTGCCCGTTCTTATTAAGGACTTTTACTTTGAGAAACGGTGATCAAGGCTGATCTGGGCTCATTGGATTGGGTAGCCAAAAAGGTGGCGGTTATCTGTCTCATGGGAGGGCAAAGACAAGAGGGGGAACGTCATCTCGATCTTTTTACTTATACTAGGTCGTGTGCCCTCTCACACTTGAACTTGAGTTTCTTAGGATACACACCGTCTTTGCAAGTACTTCAGACTACTACTCAACTCACCATGTCCCCTTCAGCTACTTTTGACACACCGTCTGCTGGCCACTCAAACCGTCTTAAGATCCTCGTACCTGAAAAAGTATCTCCAGATGGACTGGCTTTACTCACCCCTCACTTTGACGTTGACAATCGTAAAGGGCTAACAGCCACTGAGCTTATCAATTTGATCCCCAACTACCATGGTCTGATTATTCGCTCCGAGACGCAAGTTACAGCTGAAGTCGTCCAAGCTGGACGGAAGCTGAGGGTTGTTGCTCGGGCTGGTGTTGGAGTTGACAACATATATGTCCCTGCCGCAAGCGCCCAAGGCGTTATTGTTGTGAACTCTCCTTCAGGCAACATCCTCGCAGCGGCAGAACACACTATTGCACTCCTCCTCTCAACAGCCCGTAATGTGGGCCAGGCAGACAGCAGTGTCAAGGCTGGCCGCTGGGAGCGAAGCAAACTCGTGGGAGTTGAAGTTGGCCGCAAGACTCTCGGCATCATCGGATTGGGCAAGGTTGGAATGAATGTTGCTCGCATGGCCATAGGTCTCGGTATGACAGTCAAGGCGGTCGACCCCTATGCAAGCACCGACATGGCTCGCCAAACTGGCGTTGAACTGGTTCCGGGGTTGGAGGACCTGCTTCCTGTGGTTGACTTTCTGACCATCCATACGCCCCTGCTTGCTACAACACTGGACTTAGTTGGCGAGGCAGAGTTTAAAAAGATGAAGAAGACAGCTCGTGTGCTCAATGTTGCACGCGGTGGTGTGTATAACGAGGAGGCTTTAATAAAAGCACTTGATGAGGGATGGATCGCAGGAGCGGGTATTGACGTCTGGTCCTCAGAGCCACTGGCTGCAGACTCAGCAGCAGCCCGGCTCAGTCAACACCACAAGGTTGTGGCGACACCTCATCTGGGAGCTTCAACAATTGAGGCACAGGAGAATGTTTCCATGGATGTCTGCAAGCAGGTCCTTGAGATTCTTCAAGGCGGACTTCCTACTAGCGCTGTCAATGCCCCTATTATCATGCCGGAAGAGTACCGTAAGCTGCAACCATCTGTGCAGCTTGTCGAAAAGATGGGCCGTCTCTATACGCAGCACTTTGTGCGAAGCAAAGGAGGCATGATAGGGGGTCGTCGATTCGAGCTCATATATCACGGCGACCTGGCTGGCATGACCAACACCAAGCCGCTGTTTGCTGCTCTTGTCAAGGGTCTTGTGTCCACGTTCAGCGATTCGCATATCAATATGGTCAACGCAGCACTCATTGCCAAAGAGAAAGGCATTGTGATTAGTGAGACTCGTTCTGGCGATTCACCTTCGACTTATGCCAACTTTGTGACACTACGTTCATATCAGGCTGGTAGCAGTGGCAGTGAGCAGGTAATTGAAGGCTACGCGAGTGACGAACAAGTCTTCATCTCCAAGCTGGACAGATTCAATGGTGTATTTACACCAGAGGGAACCCTCATTATACTGCACAACTACGATGAGCCTGGCAAGATTGGAGGAGTAGGTATGGTGCTCGGAAAGCACGGGATTAACATCAAGTTCATGCAAGTGGCCAGTCTGGACCCCGAAGCTTCTAAGGGAGCCGATACCCCGCCTGACCCGAAAGGCAACGAGGCATTGATGATTCTTGGTGTTCTCGGGCCGGTGAGTGGTGAAGTCTTGGAGGACTTGAAGAACTCCCCAGGAGTTCTTGATGTTGGACTGGTTAAGCTGTGATCATGGTGCTGGCTGGTCGAGCGAAGTGAGGATACCATTCAACATGCTCAGGGGTGGCAATCGCGACCATAGGTGTGACGGCTCAGAAGTAAACAAAAGACAAAATAAACCTTGATATTATGCGATGATTATCACATGCTCTCCAGCGAGCAAGAAAAATCTAACCCCAAGTTTAGGTGCTAAAAATGATCAAACTAAAGGTCTACTGTGTCTTTACTAAACTTACACAAGTCTTTTTGTCACTTGGTTATAGAGATCCTCAGTTTTCTTGCCTCTCTTTGACAATGGATGATTGATTGTCTTGACAATGACTTCATGCGGCTTTAGCTGGGAAACTAAGGGCACCGTAGCGAACGGTTTTAGCTTCTGCAACTTCAAGATTTTAGTGGATTTTGTCGACTGCATTCGGGATCTGGACCTGGTCTAGTGGACGCCTCCACCAATAAAATTATTCTCCCCTCCCTGGCAGTTCCCTGCGTCATCATGTTCGCGAGTTAGATGACCCATATCATCCAAGGATAAGGTAGCTAATTCCAACCCTTTCGTCCCACTTCTTTTGCCTCGTCGTTCTTGTTCTTCATCAAAGCTCGCCTTTGGTGCGAAGAGGTTGGATTTTGACCAGACGAAACGAGGCAAAAAGACTTCAATTGCCCGAATAGCTTCTCATCCTTAGCGACAGCATCTCTTCAAGCTTCACCTTGACCCTAAGCTCCCCTGTCTCAGCCACATTCCGGTCCTTATCGTGTAAGCTTTGCCAAGATCGCTTGTGCCTATCCGTCGGAGATTGATTACCTTGGCCTGCCTTGAACGCGTTCAACTCAATCTGACCTTCGACAATCGACATTCGCGGTCTTCCCGCTTCGCCTTGCGGTGACGAGATAACTCATATATCCACACACACGATATACGAAATACACATCCTGTCACAATGGCGAACGCTGCACGATACAATATGGGCTCAATACGCCCGGCTGTCATTGGCATGGGCCGAGTCTTTGGTGCAAGCTTGACGGCTGTCTCTGCCTTTCCGGTTGACACCAAGGGCCACCATGACGCTGGCGAAGAGGGCGGTTCCAGCCTCTGGGTCCTCGCTGTTGCGTCAATGGTTCTGGTCCTTCTTGGTGGTGCTTTTGCTGGATTGACAATTGCGCAAGTTCCCCTCCCTCTTGGCGATTCGCGACGCATGCTGACCTCACCAGTTTGATGGGACAAGACAGTATTTATCTCCAGGTTTTATCGGGCGATCCCGCGGAATCGCAGTCTAAGAATGCGAAACGTGTGTTGAAATTGTTAAAACGAGGAAAGCATTGGGTTCTGGTCACACTGCTGCTATCGAACGTCATTGTCAACGAGTCACTCCCCGTTGTATTGGACCGAACTCTTGGTGGAGGTGTTGCTGCTGTCGTTGGCAGTACTGTTCTCATCGGTATGTGAGACATGATACCTCTGGTAGGCTTTGCTAACCATAGCAGTTATTTTTGGTGAAATTGTTCCCCAGTCCATCTGCGTTCGATATGGCCTTCCTATCGGCGGATACATGTCTACTCCAGTTCTTCTTCTCATGTATCTCACCGCTCCCGTTTCTTGGCCTATTGCAAAGCTTCTCGACTGGATTCTGGGTGAGGATCATGGTACTTTGTACAAGAAGAGCGGACTCAAGACGCTGGTCACCCTCCACAAGTCTCTGGGCGAGATTTCCGAGCGTCTGAACCAGGATGAGGTAACAATTATCACAGCTGTTTTGGACTTGAAGGACAAGCCCGTTGCTGAAGTTATGACACCCATCTCCGATGTTTATACGCTTGCCGAAGACCACATCCTCGACGAAAAGACCATGGATGATATTCTATCCTCCGGGTACTCGCGAATCCCTATCTATCGTTCTGGGAATCACTTGGACTTTGTTGGCATGCTTTTGGTCAAGACACTCATCACCTACGACCCTGAAGATAGAATTCCCGTCCGCGATGTGCCTCTCGGTGCAATTGTCGAAACGCGCCCTGAGACCAGCTGTCTGGACATCATCAACTTCTTCCAGGAGGGCAAATCGCACATGGTGCTGGTATCGGAGTTCCCCGGCTCGGACCATGGTGCCCTCGGTGTTGTTACTCTTGAAGATGTGATCGAGGAATTGATTGGAGAGTAAGTAGCCAATTTCACATATGATGAGTATTACTGACCACACAGGGAAATTGTTGACGAATCCGACGTATACGTCGATGTACACAAGGCTATCCGACGTCTTACTCCCGCACCCCGAGCCCGCCGAATTCACGCAACTGCTGCCGCTGCCGCTGCAATGGCCACTAAGAAGGCCCCAGGCGACTCTATTTTGGTCGACGTTGAAGAACACGCCGAGGATCACCCTCCCAATGTCGAGACTGCTTCTTTCCACAGCAATTATGAAGGGGGATTCCACAACTCTGCCAAGACTGCCATTCATATGAAGCGCCGAACCTCTGATGGTGGCATAGAAGGCACCCCAGTTGTTGTGAAGGCTAGTCTAGATGAAATGAGGTCTCAACTTCGTCTTGGGCCTGCCAACCGAGCTGCGAACCCTCGCAGCAATACCCGCAGCCTCTTCAAAATCAAACAAGGTCTCGGCGCGAGCCATACGCCCCCCAACGATGGCTCAAGACCTGCCCAGCCGCGCGCTGCATCCCACATGGGTTTCACGAGTACTCACGGACAATCTCAGGCGCGGACTCAGGGGCATGAACGGACACCATTATTAGCCGAGGAGCACGAAGAAGCTATTGACGACGATGAAGATGACCACAGTCGTAAAACAAATGGTCGGCATTAGGGGGTATATTTAGTGGTATGGACAATAGGGTTTGATGGAATCGTTTCTTAGGAGTGGCTATATCTAAACCAGGGCCCTTTACTGTTGGGCATACCAGGCAAGGTCTAGTTAATACACCTCCGCAGCATTGATGACAGCAGCCAAATCATGGCAACTATAATACTCTTTGACGTCAAATTTTGTCTCATTGTAACTTTATTCTTCTTCTATTCATCCATACTAATGTGCTCTCAGTCATACCAGATGGCGTTCATGCCGAAGCCAGGCTCTGGTGTTCTAACCCTTGCAACACGGGCGAGGTGCTCATCTTGCCAGCGGTAGATCTCCAGCCAACCTTCTTGGTCATCCGTGATCGCTACCCACTCGTCTGTCCAAGGGCAAGGCGCAACCGCATTACTGTGTCCACCACTCGTAGGTGTAGGATTCAGGCAGATCTGGCGCTCAATGGCGCCGGTATCCGAGAGCTTGAAGGCGGCCACATAACCTGTCAGGTCGAAGGAGTTGGCACGGGACGAGGCAAAGAGATACTTGCCCGACGACGAAACCACGCAGACATCAGCGCGGTACTGTGTCCACCTATCGGGGATACCTGGAGGAATCAGAGGGTAGTGCTTGTGGGTGTAAACGGGAAGACGAGTTGCTGGATCGATGAGGTACTCGCAAATTCGGTTGCCCTTCTCCATAAGAGCATAGAGGTAGTTTCCAGTAGGATGCATGGCTACCCATCGAGGGTGGTCTCGAGCATCAGGACAATCGACAGAACCAACTAGCTCAAGAGAAGGATCGTCCTTGCTGACACGGCGATGGGTCCAGAGCTTGTTAGCACGGAGGTCGGCAGAATAGAGGTACTCTTCCTCAGGGTCAAAGACCATTCCGTGAATACCCGTGTTAGGCTGGTAAGGATAGTTTTGAACATTTTCCTTGAGAGCCTTTGTGGTGGAATCGGTGGTGAAGACAGCGCCGTGGCCAGCGTGATCGTAGAAAGGATTGCAGTAGACGGCATAAGGAGGCTTGTTCGCTGCGAGAAGGAAGATGGCACGGGTGTTTGTGGTGGCAAGAGAAGCATTGGCTATTGAGGTTAGTTTCCAGTATATGAACTGGTCAGATGTGACTTACGATCGTGCTCCATTGGGTGAGAGACTTGGTGAGTTATCGAAGTTGGCGATTCGACGGCGAAGCTGGACCACTTCTTCATGGCAGCACCGTAAATAGCTTTGCGATCATGCTGGAGCGCAATGTGAGTTAACATCTTGCAGTGTGAGAAGTGATCTTACACTAAATGTCATCCATGAGATTGGCTCGTCCTTGGGAATCTCGGTCCTTTTCACGAGCTTAAGTGTAAGAGCTTCGTCGTCGAAGGCAAAAGTGAAGATAGCACCTGGAGGTGTCCAGGTACCAACCATGAGATGATGAACAGGCATTTTGGCTGTGATAGATGTTGCTCGAAGCTTTGAGATGAGTGTAGGTCGCATACAAGTTGAAGCTAGAATCACAGCAGAACCAATTCAACGATCAATGAAGCAGTCCTGAGATTATTGCTGGAGGAGAAAGTACATGTTAAAAAAAAAGATTGAGTCGTTATCATGGATGATGGAGGGAGCGACAGGCTTAAACATTTATCCTACAGGGCATAGTGGAGGACCCCGCGGAATTGAGCTATGATGCAGGCTCTCAGTACAGTTACAGTTGGTTAGCAGTTAGCCGTGGGTCTAAGTCCGGGGACGGGGCCGGCTTCGGTAGTCTGCAGCGGCAGATGTTGACGGATATGATTTCGGTATTGAACCGATAATAATGAGTGTGCAGTTGGCTTTTGTTAATATGAGCATCTTGAAATTTAGTCATTAGCGAAAACCCTTGAAATGATATGATCTTTTTAGAGGCTCATCATGACACCTGAATCGTATCAAACATCCCAGAGTCATGATAGCATGGCTCTCATCATACTAGATCTATCTGACTTGCTGTGTTTCATGAGACGCAAGTGATCTCAATTGGTCTTGCAAAATAATTTACATTTGATTAAAAGATCTGTTGACTATTCTCGGGGCATGCTGAACCTATGAATGGATATCTTGTTAAGTACCTTAGCATCTAGAATACCCCGCATTGACTTCCCCGATGTTGATCCCGGCACAAAGCCACTAACGTCCTTCTTCTCGTGCTATATTAAATATTGGATATCATGTGAAAAGATATTCCCTCTTCAACTAAAACGATACTTTTGAGCAGCCTTGAGAAGAGGTCATGATGACATACCCTTGCTCATGACCATGGATTTAATACGAACGCGAGAAAGATGTTATGGCCGCTTATGTAGCCCGGCGATTCATATAAGCTAAACAACAAACAAGGATGTTCCCAGCTGATGTTTTGAGCAGTCATGGCGATCCTTGGCCTCAATAGTACTCATGATATCAGTGTGGTAGAGAATACACCGACCGGCATGTATTCAGGAAAGTGTCTACGTAGTATTGGGACGAAATGAGAACTGAGTATTGGCTATAATTTAAATTCATTTGGACTTATTGAATATGGATCTTTCAACCTGTAAAGCCTGAGCTAATGAAATTGCTGCTTGGCTAATCAACGCTGTAAGCGACAGCATCACTCGATCGCGAATCGCCTTTCCAGCTTCAACGGCCGGCGGAGCGGAAAAGGAAAGAAAACAATTGACCGATCATTGTTATTATTACTACACGCAAGCAAATATAGTCTTGTACGACCTGTTTTGCCATCGTGCATCATCATCGTCCACCATCACTGGTGCGATAAGATAGGGCCCGTCACCCGGCCAACGGCCGTTTCCTAATAAACAGTCAACGGCTTGTCTAATAGTGCCTTGGCTCTGGCTACCTAAGCGACCTACTTTCTTGCTAGCTCCAGCTCCAGCTTCAGCTTGTCTTCTCAACTTTACCTTACTTTTATTCTTTCTGCAATGGCGTAGTCCAATTCGCAGTCTTAGTTGGCTTCTTATTCTCAGCAGTTGGCGTGAGACTTAGTTTTGTTCATTACCATTTTTTTAAACATCTTCATTCCTACAGGCATCGCTGTGACGCCCTGGGCGAAAGCTACTTAGCAGCTCTCATACAACCACGGATATCGTTGCTCGACACCATGAATACAAACGACGTAAATAGCTTCGATGCCGGTCGAAGACCACGGCCCAAGTCCTCCATCCTCGAGGGCTTCATGCATCGTCGTCAAGCCTCCACCGATACCCATTCATTCCAGGCCCCTTTCGATGGTCCTGTCTCTCCTATACAGCCCAAGATCATGGCTTTTGAGAACTACTCCAACCCAGGGGCACTGGCGGAGCTACAATACAACCAGCAAGAGTCTTCCGGACGCTTCTCGCGGCGACAGGACCGAGGCCGATCACAGTCCCCGACCAAGAGCAGCTTTGGCAACTTCACCATCATAACAGCACCCGGCAAAGAAGCCAAGGGCTCAAAATCTCGCGATCCCTCTCCCACCAAACCGAAACGGCCAAAGTCAACAACTAACCTTGCTGGTCTGCTCAAGCCCAAGACGCTCCGAAACTTGGGCAGGTTCGGATCCGACGACAATGTCAATTCATCCAAGGACAAGGAAAACAGAACTCCCGAAGAACCGGTAGCAGACCCTGCACCAACACCCATTTATTCTCAGTTTGCCTCTCGACCGAACATCGAACCAGCCCAGAGCACACGCCGTAGTATGGACGAAGCACGGGCACCAAGTGTCCAGGATCTTTATAATGGCAGTCGAGTCGCCGTCAAAGAGCGACCGAAATCATATCATCCCATGCTGGGAAGAATGGAACCACCCCCCTCACCGACCAAGGCACGCACTTCAAACGATTCCCGAAAGGGATCAAAAGACTCGACTGAGGCTAAAAGTAAGAGCGGTCGAGGTAAGGTCTTGAGCGTCTTTACTACATTCAACCACAGCCGATCCAAGTCAACGTCAGTTGTACCTGAGCCGACCGAGGCAGTACTTGACCCTAAGGATATTGACAAACACCTTGAAGCTATGTTGGACCGACGAAACATTCCAGAGAACCAGAGATACAAGATGAGGAACCTGAGCGACACCATCAAGATGGAGTTTATCCGCCAGGACTGGGCCGAATCACAGGCTTCTCGGACAGAGAGATCCTGCTCAACAGATAGCGCCAATAGCGGCCTGGTCATGGAAGCCGGCACACAAAATGAAGAGAAACAGAAGCGATCACGGGGCAAGAGTTTTACTCTCTCACGAGGAAGAAAGGAATCAAAGGAGCCAAGCTCCCCTATCAAAAAGTCAAAGGGCGACGGGACGTTGGGCCGTCATTTCAGAAGCAAGTCCACCGACAGCGTAGTCAGCGAAGGGCCTCCTGGATCAAGCGGCTCCGTTTCCAACTCTGGAATTCTGTCCAAGATTAAGCTCAACCAAGGCCCAGGTGATTACGTGGCGTATCTCAGAAAGGTTCAAAAACCAGAACTTGTCGAGGTCGGCAAAGTTCACAAGCTACGACTGCTTCTCAGGAACGAGACAGTGGCATGGATCGAAGACTTCATCCAGCAAGGCGGTATGAAGGAGATTGTAGGTCTGCTCAACCGCATCATGGAGGTTGAATGGAGGTAAGTCAAATTCAAGACGTGATCCCACAAGCGTGACTGACAATTGATAGGGAGGAACATGAAGATGCACTGCTTCACGAGAATCTTCTCTGTCTAAAGGCACTGTCGACGACAGCTCGCGCCATGCAATATCTTCACACGATCCAGAGCGATCTATTTCCCAAGCTCCTACATATGCTCTTCGACCCAGAGAAGAAGGGTCCCAGCGAGTTCACCACTCGTAACATCATAACATCCGTCTTGTTCACGTATGTTGAGTCTGCTGCACCAGCCGAACGGGTCACACGAGCCCAGAGTATTCTCGCACACCTCAGAGACCCCGAGCCAAAGGAGGATCAGCGCCCATTGCCATTTGTCCTAGAGATGAGGCAAGAAAGGCCATACCGCGTTTGGAACAAGGAGGTTGTTAGCGTCACTAAAGAAGTGTTCTGGATCTTCCTTCACAACGTCAACGTTGTATCCCTTCCTTCGGACCGCCCCTCGACGTGTGACCTTGCCCCTGGTCCGTACAGTTACATGCTTCGACATTTCCCTCAAGAGCGCCCCCCGGTCCCAGCAGCACCATATGTGGGCGGAGTCGAATGGGATGCGACCAACTACCTGGCTTCTCATCTTGATCTCATGAACGCCATCTTGGCCTGCACACCGACACAAGAGGAGCGCAACACTCTTCGCGCACAGTTCCGAATTTCGGGATGGGAGCGATGCCTTGGTGGTAGTCTACGACTCTGTAAAGAGAAGTTCTATGGAAGTGTGCATGACGGGCTTCGGACATGGGTCGGAGCGGCGGCCGAGGATGGTTGGGACGTCAAGGATGTGCGATACGGGCCGCCCCCTGACGCTCGGGCTTCACCAAAGAAAACTGGAGGTGGTCAGAAGAAACCGGTCGAGGCGGCGCCAAAGCTTGAGATGCCGAAGCTCGATTTTGGGTCGGATAAGCCATCCACTCCGAGTAAGGAGAAGGACATGTGGCTGTGATGAAATGGCAAATCTTGAAGTGCCAGCATTTGTTTCTTGCATGTATTTCCTTGTTGGTCTGGAGCCAAGGTTGATTGTTGGTTGTTTGGAAGTCATGGTAGAGATCCTACTTTGATGATGGCATGTTAATGAACTGATGACACAAAAAACTGTATTGTTGACCCATCCGTGCTTCGGGTTACTTGATACAAACTCCTTGTAGATCTCACGTGTTCCCGTGATGTACAGCTTATGTGACGCTCAGGACCAGCCAGCCACCGTACGCTGCGCCCTTGTTTTCTTGGAAACTTTGGTCCAAGGTAGTAGTCTTGTATTCTTTATCCTCTACGACGGGGCTTGTTCAAAGATTGCTTCGATGAAGCTTGAAGGACTCAAAAACCGTTGCACCTTTGAGCACATCTTCCTTAACCTTTTCATCAGCTGCTGTCAGCTTGGGCAGCAATTCGAGGACCTCAGAAACCTTGTTCTGAGGAATGACCACCACCCCGTTGATTGGATCGCTAAATGCAAGGTCGCCAGGAGAGACGAGGGTTCCATCAATGTCGAGAGGTACCTGGATCGCCCAGGGCACGCTCCCTCCACCAACCCCAACGGTGGACAACCCTCGAGCCCAAATCTGCATTGTACCTCCGAGTTCAGCTTGTTCCATGAGCAGGGTAAATGACACTCACCGGTAAGGAAGTACTCTTTAGTTCCGCTATATCTCTGGCTCGCCCAGCTACAACGATGCCCTTGGCTTGGCACACTTTCATGCGAACTGCCATGATCCCACCACAAACAGCATTCTTTTGACCGTCAGGCTGTTTAAGAACCACAATGGTTCCTGGTTCTGTCAGATCGGCCCAATGGGTTCCCTCAGGGATGTTCTTTTGTATTTCTGGGAGATCCTGTCCCTTGGAGGCGAAGAGAACTGTTGAAACTGGAGCAACAGTAACCGATGTTGCATCACCCTCAGGAGAGCTGTATAGGTTCAGATCGGCAACAAAGCCGGCGCCGGGAACCTTTAACTTGAGGAGTGCGTCCGAGATATCACAAGCGGAATACTGCTGCAGCTTTACCAAGTCCTCGGCGTGGTAACTCATGCTGATAGCGTCCGAGGGCAACAAGTTTTTAGCGAATACGGCGAGTCGGTGAGCAAGGTCTATCAAATAGTTGCAGTTTCGAAGATTAAAAGCCTCTTTGACGTTGTAAGTGCGTTATAGCCCCCCGGGTTAGAACTTGCCGGTAATCGCAGGAAGTTCAGGTCGTAGTGGAACTTGGAGCTCCATGACTCCGGAGCCTCCCATCAACCGGGACGTACAGTCCAATCAGAAGCATTACCAGCACATGCTTTGGATGCACGAACTAGGTGGGGGATGGCCAGGGAGAGCTTGACCGAGGCCAATCATTGAACTCGAAGGATCTGGCCCTGGACGGGAATTCAAAGTTGACGAGGAACCGGCGTTTTATTTGCGACTGCAACTGTGAGCTAGCGACAGAGATAGATTAGGAGCTCAAGCGGAGCAACCCTGGCATGACGTCTCTTGTTTACTCTTCTCTCTTTCGGATCCTCTTCTGGACTGTTCGTAGGAAGGTTTTTTTTTCTTTCTCGTTTGTTGGTACATGACGCAAAAGTGACTATCAGTTCCCGTCCTGGTATCAATCAGTCAGTGACGAGACTCAGGGTACCAAAATGTGACGTGTCTTATGAGCAAGGGCCAAGATCAAGATGGTGGTCCAAGCATGGTCTACATATTCTTTATCGCCGCGATAGACGACCAGCTCCCTTCGGGCAACGAGTCATGGCGAGGCATGATAATGTTTCGGGGAGGCTGGCGCTGCAGAGTAGATTTTGTGGTGAAGCTGGTTCTTATGGTGAGCAATAGGTGGGGTTCACCAGATATCAACGGAAATTCCGAAGATGCAAAAGAATAATCAAAATCGATATACTACGTAGCAACCGGCCGAAAAGACTTAAGGAGAGGCTTGCAATTTCCTAACGTGACAAGCCGTAATTTCAAGCAATAAAGCGAACACCTCCATTCCTGTTACAACATGGAATAGATGCTGTCAAAAGTAGATGCTACGCTAGCTAAGTCTCTGGGCTAGATAGCTCAACCCGTCCGTTCTATCAACTCAACCCCAGACACACGGACATTCCAAGGGTCCGTTTAAATCGTGACATGTGCTTCAAGGCTGTTGATGACAGCTTTGCTCAACTGGGCTCAAACTGCTCGTTCAGAGAATGGAACAGAGACACATGAGCAACGAGACAGCTTCTTATGCTAAGATCAGCTGTTCTTGACTGCTTCTAGACTTACTACGCAGGATAATCTATGAAACGGAACCGGATAACAGAAAGTCATTGGGTCGGAAGCCTTGTTAGTTGCACTGCTGAGCCTTTCTTTGGCATGAATAAGAGTATATGTGCTGGCCATGTCCTCCACATAAGATCCTCGAAACAGATCCAGACCGTTAATTGGTGTTGACATCTGCAACGAGAGGGGTTCATGAGTGATTTCAACCAAACTATCCCTGCCCTATAAACCAGAACAACCACGAATGAGTGCACCAACTGCTGAGAAATGCAGCTAAAAGATGCATACCATCATGGCTATACCTGGCGTGTGAGGGGAACACTTGGTGCCCCTCCCCATCATCATCATCATGATTCGTGGCCGGGACACTTGATCATGTCGAATTGGGCGAGGAGCCATGCGCCTCCACATCAATCACCGTCAACCGTCTCATTAGATTGACACGGCTGGGATGATGTTGGCTTGGTGGATGCTGTTCTGGGGCCGGGCAGAGATGGGTCCCAGTTGTTGCTACCTAGCATTCGCTAACGGGGCAAGCATGTCGGGTGATGGAACTGACGTTGTGACATCCCACATGGAGGGAATTACTCTCTATGGATTTAGATTTTGGCTATGGTAAAAGGATGACCTGAGAAGCATGGAATGCTCTGTTTGTAATCGAGGCACAGCATATAACCTTGCCTGTAACCTAGCTTGGCATTGAGAGGAGACACCAGATGATCGACTTGAGCTGCCAGATCTTGGCTGATAGTGATAGCTGATAGTGGAGGGCAACGATATGGGAGGGGGAAGACGATCCTGAGAATTGACTTGTTCAGGGTTGCGGCGGACACAACTTTCTCAGCAGGGGTCAAAGAAGCTCAACGTCAGGGGTCCATGAAAGAAAAGAAAATTAGATGGAACATCAGGTTACAGAAAAAGCCGTTTGCTGGTTGTGACGGGACGTTACCTACTAGCTAGAGGCCGTGCCAGGATGTTTCCCAGGGCAGTGGTAGACTGGTAGTTTGTTCTGGTGATTGTCAGCTCTGACACAACAAGGGAAGCTTCAGTTCAATAAGAAGAAGCACGTGGTGGATTGTTTCAACCTTAACAGACCCAGCCATGGGACATGGGAAGTCGATGCATTGCGATGTAGTTTGGCCAATCACCATCTCTGAACGTCACCTAGAGGATAGTTCCAAGGTAACCTCAGCTCACCTAATTAACGTGAACAGGCAGTTCTTGGACCAGATCATCCGCGCGGCTCGGCCCAAGAAAAAACGATCCGCAGCGCCCAACTTTCACATCTCCAAGTCCAACCTAAACTAATCCACTGAAACTTTGGCCTGGGTTAGCAATTCCTTCACACCTCATCCACCACCGAAGCTGCCCGTCTGTGGTATTGTAGTAGAGTGCCTCACAACTTCAGGACTAGCCTTATTTGCTTTGCCCATTCGGTATTCATTCTTCCTCCAATATCACACCATCACGCATCACACATCAATCACATCGTTCTCTTTCCTGTGACCTTGACCCAACGTCCACAAATCAAATCTATCATCGCCCGCAAATTCGATCAAATCGCCGCCTCCTCCCCCACCTCATTACGGCACCGCTTCCAGCCACCAGCCACCTGCTCTGTTTTGTTCTGTTCTGCACTCTCTGAACTGCTCTGCCAAGTCAGCCAGATAGTCAGTCAGCCAGCGTCAGGTCAGCCTAGTAGCTCAGTTCAGTCAAGCTTTTGTTCGGGCTGTCCCTGTGCCTCCTCTGTCTGTCTCTGTTTCTTCGCCTCTTTACAGTATCCTTAATCCATTCCTTGGCTTGGCTTGGTCGCTTGCTTCCTTAGCTTGGGATCTCCTACCGCTGCAGCATCTCTTGTCTCGTCCCCTAGTCGATCCTGTCCCTTGGCCTCGGGTCATCTTGATCCTATTCGACGACCCTGACAATCATCCTCGGCTGGCTTGGAACTTTGGCTTCTCCTCCTCTACCTACGGATACCCTTAGGCCTTAGCACAAAGTCGCTCGTCCGCTCGCTCGCTCGCAAAACGGAACAGACTCCAAAACGACCCACACCCCACTACAGCACCACCAGGCCCCAAGGACCCAAGGCAAGACAAGGCCAAAGGCCAACCCGGCCGCAGCCCAGAGCCACCCGCTCCAAGATCTCGGAGCTACTAAAGTTGCCTGCACGTCCTGAACCTGCCGGTACGGAGCCTGGAGCCATTTGCCCACGAGCTAGGGTCGCTTGAACCCTGTACGAGACAATGTCGATAAAGTAAGCCTCTTTCGCGAACCTCTTTCTTGAATCTCTTTCTCTGAGCTTTCCATCTTTCCCGTCCCGTCTTGTCAACCTTAGCCTTGCCCTCTTGGTCACTGGTTTAGTCCTGCACTGAGTCTTCAGAGATTGTCGCTCCCGTGGTATCCTGTCCTGTCTTGTGCCCATACCATACCCATCTTCGCATTCCCGTCCCTCTCTCCGTTTCCGTTTCTTGCCTCCGTCACCTTCCCGTCTCCCTCTGCCGTCTTCTCCGCCCCGTACCCTCCGGTCACGGCGGCCACGGCTCAGTCCGTCCGTTGACTGCCCCGCCACCTTCGGCCCATGGAGTCATGGACCCCGCCCTATAATGGACAATCCTCATGACTATCTTATTACAAGCCGTCCTCCTTCGCGGCCCGTCGATCCTGACAATGCCGATAGCTGGGTTATGCTCAATCAGGGCGGCTTCGTCAAGCTTGGCAATGAACGCATCTTGATGAAGCTCGAATCGAGAATCTCATGCGACCTGTCTGTGCCCCAGGAGCTGAGAGCACGATGTGCCTCGTTTCAACGGAAAAGTGATAAAGGCACCCTCTTCCTGACCAACAAGAGAGTAAGTTGATAGCAAATCTATCTCGAGACTCTCTACTGACGCTTCAGATCGTGTATCTTCCTTTAAAACCCACTCAAGAACCAAAGTTTGAATCCTTCAGTGCCCCAATCCTGAAGTTTCAAGATTCCACCACTTCATCATCTATGTGGTGGGGATGGGTGTGGAAATCAGATTGTATTCCTGTATCCGGTGGTGGCATTCCTCCAGATATTCCTCGGCTTGAGGTCAAGTTCACGTTTTCAGATGGAGGCATGATGGATTTCAACGAAGCCTATATAAGGCTGCGGGAGCGACTTTACCAGTATCAAGAGATGCGCCGGGAGATGGGCCCCGGTGCTGATGTCCCTGATGAGCCTCTTCCAGCATATGAAGCTCCTTCTGCCCAGCCAGCTCCTACAACGAGTTCGACAGATGTGCGCCCTAATCGCTCAGAGAGCGCTGCCAGTCGGAGGGCACCAGATGAACCACCACCAGATTATGACGAGGCTCAGGCGCAGCAGTTGAATATTCGGTTGGAGGACCACATTCGAGGTGAAATTGATAGGGGAGCATACGAAAATGATGATTAACGGCCGCGTTGGACCACACCAATGGCTGTGGTTGTGTTACAGATACCAAGATTTGAGCACTGCATTCATGAACTCATTATACTACCTCTTACTTTTTTCCGGGTTTTCATATTCAAAGGGATCTGCTAGAATCATGATATTGCGAAATATTAAAATTTCCAGCCGCTTCTGAATCTGATAATAGAACGTGACAACCTTTCGGTGAATATTCGAGAATCTGTAGCTATCAACTCTAGCTTCAACCAGATTGTACAGGTTTTGCGGCTGAAGGCCGGGTATATCGGTTCGGGAGACTGGAAGGACATACACGTGACCCTTATTACTAAGTCGGCTCACCAATCAAAATGCCTCTATTATCAGTTTTAATTCATGACCTTGGCTGAGAGCAGTTCCGACCTCTTCCGCTCTGAACGACGAATTGACGAACGACACCTCAATTGAAACCACCATTCGCCATTGTGAATTCTTCCGCCTGTCGCAATGGGTATCTGGGACGCCTTTACCGATATTGTCGAGGCTGTGACGCCATGGAGCGTTGTTGAGGCCGAGGCGCCTGCTGAGGAGCCTCAGGTACGGGATTTTTCCAGCAAGGCATTATGTGTCATCGATCTTGTCATTGTTTGATTACAACGGGACTTCGTCGAGAGCGCATCTAAGACCTTGTGTAAATAGGTGATCAAGTACTGACAAGGAACAGGAGGAGACCGAGCCCAAGAACGAGTCCAAGGACGAGCCCGAGGAAGAGGCTGAGGAGGAGGAAGAGGAGGACGAGGACGAGGATGACGAGGAGGAGCTCGTCGACCCCAAGGAGACACTGGAGGAAGGTTCGTCAATTCCTTACGCCAATCTTCGGTCCAGAACGTCATGAGTGATTTCACAATCGCTTCACACCTGGGCGCGATATAACCCGCAATACATACTAACGCATCAACAGAGTGCAAGAACTCTCCCCAATGTGCCCCCGCCAAGCACCACTTCGATGAGTGCGTCGAGCGCGTTCAACAGCAGGAGAGCGAGGGTGGCGCTAAGGAGGACTGCGTCGAGGAATGTATGTCTACCGGCCCAAACTGCGTCATGGGACCCGAGGACCCCGAACATCCCACCTACTATACCATATGCTAACCAGCATCTAATCTAGTCTTCCACCTTGCCCACTGTGCGACCGCCTGCGCCGCTCCCAAGCTCTGGACTCAGCTCAAATAAAGTATCAATATCACTGGGTTGTCGGTTCCCACCACGACGGAATGGCTACATATTCGTCGAAAAGATGCCTAGAGCCGGAACGAAGCAAGCCTGCTCTCTAATGAGGGCTATCTCCTTGTACGATTGCTCGTCAGTTGGGTGTCAAGTCGTCCAGAGGTTTATCTGATTGCGGCTCTCTGTACCATACGCTCAAACGCCTGAATAGATTTCTTGCACACTATACCTAGACCATTGATTGACTTTTGCACCTACTTGACTCAACAAAAATTGTGCATGTTCAACTACCAGAGCTGATTATCATTTACAGAGGTCGACGTCGCACAGCAGCTGATCTGACAACGAAGCCGGACTAGTTTGTCACCATGTTTGGCTTAAGTGCTAGCCATTGTCCTGTCTGGTGAAAGGCATCAGAGATCTGTTTGTTAGGCCAAATTCTCTCTGATATGCCGGAGAGCCTTGCCGTGACGATGTATGCGTGTGTTCCTGTCGTGAAAATAGCCTTGGAAGATTCTCGTTGGCATAAACCCCAAATCTTCTGTGGAAAGAAAAGATAGGTAGTGATTACTACCCACTTTGAGGATGTTATCTAAACATTATGCCTACAATAGACCGGTGCTACTATAAATAATATCCGATATATTTCTCTCGCCATGGCAAAGACTATTGACTATTTAGATAATGCATGGGTATATTGTAATGCCAAACCTTCTATCACCCCTCACTTTTATTTCTTCCTTTGCTAAATAGTACATGTGACACCTCGGTGCGATCAGAACGAAAAAGAATAGATTGGTGGGATATCGGAACACGGCACAGTTAGAGTGACACATTTTGGCTCATCGTTTTGAGCGTTGTAGGCATTAGAGTGTGCTAGGAACAGGGTCCTGGAACAAAGTTGGAGGTATTGGAGACCCCGCCTCGTTTAGTGGCCTACAAGAAAGTTCTTCTAATTCTAAGCGTTGACAACAGTTTCTGGGCTTCGTGATAATAATCAGATCATTTGTTTAAGTCGTAAATCATGAGAACTTCGATTTCCTACCACCGGCCAATATCAATCTTCTGACATTTAGGGTCAATAAAGGTTAGAAGAAATATACTAAAACCTGGGGAAGTTAGATATAAACTTCTTCTTAATTGACTTTCGTTAAGATCTTCAAAAGCCAATACCAATCCCTTGTAGCAACGCCGCAGACATACAGAACTCGGTTAAAAGTAATAACGTTCGGTTGGCTTGATTAGTTAGGGTGCATGTTGTGGTTGCATTGGAACTTTACCTGATCCTGGATCTTGGATCCTATTTACGCTCGCTTTGAGATTCCTTGTTTGGATGGTTTCGAGATGGCGATACGAGGTTGAATATAGATGCATAAAATTGAATAGTCTCTGTGTTTTGTTAGACCACAGGAAGCATGCTGTGCACGTCAAAGCTTCCGTCTCATACAAAACTTGCATCAATAGTCTCTAGATATGAACACTAAAAGGAGATATTGCCTCTTTACAGATAGATCACCAACATGAGTAAAGGTGGTACCGGCCTGTGCTATATCAAGTTAGTAAATAATCTACGCTCGGTTGGTTGAAGTTTGAGATGGATGTTGCAGCAAGGGCGTTTCTGATCCTGAACTGTAGAGCCTGTAGCGACCTATCAGAAGGCCTAGCTTTAAGCCGTTAGCGTTAGCGTCGCGTGCTGTCCTCGATGCAGATGTCTGTGAAGTACTGAAGGTGCAGGTATGGTAGGCAGGTGATGGCAAAGGTGCCACACGGACTTCCTCTTGTGGATGGCAAGATTCCGGTTGACGGCAATGGCAGTTGGCTTCAGCGTCCTCCTTCCAAGGTAGATTAGATTCAATTAAACCGTTTCCCCCCTCTCCCAGATCAAATAAGATCTTTATCTCTTCATTGCTCGTCCACCACTTGTCGCCCAATTACTCAACAGCTACAATGCATCTATAAGCCCGCTAGGATTGCCAAGCTGAAACCCTCCCACAATCCGCGATCGACCCATCAATCAAAATACCCCTAAAGTCTGGCCGAGGCGAGGATCCCAGTAAACGTCGAGTAATAAGTTCAAGGTTGAACCAACAATCCGAGGACTCGATCAGAGGAGAGCGACATCACAGTGAGGCGACTTTGAATCAAGTGAGGTGATAAACACCATCGCTGGGGGTGTTGTCAATTCTCCGTCTGAACTCCTTTTCTTCAATATCTTTGCCTACATTTCTATCAGTGCTGAATCACGCTCTCCTCTTGCATGTATCGACCACCACAGTCGGACAGTGCATAAGGACGTCCTTGCTCGCTGGACCTCTTCTTGAAACCGATACTGGCACTGGCACTGACTGACACTGCCGTTGCTCGGTGTATCCCTGTCCCTGTCACGCATCATCGTTTCAACATCGCAAATCGAAAGAAACGTATTCTCCCCATTTCAACCTCTCAACTCCACCCTCAGGTCTTGATAGAAATCACTTACGCAAGAATCCAAGTGATCACGACAACTCCCTGGTCCATTCAGCATCATGAGTAGCGACGGTGTTGGTGGCCGCTTCTGGCGCAAGCAGAAGCTCGGCTCAAGGGACTTCACTCTTCAAGAGCGCAGAGCAACAGGTGAGGGCGAAGGAGATGTTGAGGCCGAGGAGGGTAGCATTCGCCAAGGAGTATCGACAGAGTATCGCACTTACAAACGACGTTGGTTTGGTCTCGCTCAGCTTACGCTGATGAATATTATTGTGTCGTGGGATGTAAGTTTAGAGTTCCCACGCCACCAATCGAATAAGATGCATATGCTGACAGAAGAACGATAGTGGATGACCTTTGCACCAGTAGCATCACAGGCTGCCGAGTACTATGATGTACGCGAATCTACCATCAACTGGATCAGCACTGCATTCTTCCTTGCATTTGTGGCTGTCTTTCCCATCAGTATTGCCATCCTCCATCGGGGTCCGAAGCTGGCCTTCATGACAGCCGCCGTTCTCATTCTCATTGGCAATTGGATTCGTTACGCTGGTTCTACCAAGGCTAGTGGTGGAAATATTGCCTATGCCATGGCTGGAGAGATCATCATTGGATTTGCCCAACCTTTTATTCTTGCAGCACCAACTCGATACTCGGACTTGTGGTTCACTAACCGTGGACGTGTCGCCGCAACAGCTCTGACAAGTCTGGCCAACCCGTTTGGTGCAGCATTTGGACAACTAATTACACCACTCATGGTTAAGAAATCTGGCGATGTGTCAAATATGGTCCTATACATCTCCATCATTGTAAGTGCCCTTCCAATTTCTGGTTTTCCATAGCTAACGGTTCTAGTCAACGGTTTGTGCCGTGCCTGCGTTCGCCGTTCCAGCCAAACCTCCTTCGCCAGTTGGTCCAGCAGCTGAGACCCCTAAACTCAGTCTCCGTGAATCCTTTGGGGTTTTGAGTCGTTCTCTCGAGATCTGGCTGATCCTTGTTCCCTTCTCCATATACGTCGGTTTCTTCAACTCGATCTCTTCACTTCTCAATCAGATCTTCTCGCCATATGGCTTTTCTGACGATGAAGCTGGTATCGGCGGTGCCGTCCTTATCGTTGTTGGACTCATCGCCTCCGCTATCTCGTCACCCATTATCGATCGCACGAAGAGTTTCCTCCTAACTCTCAAGATTCTTGTCCCCCTCGTTGGCGTCAGTTACCTGGTTTTTGTCTGGATGCCTGAAACGAGGGATATTGCTGGTCCCTACGTAGTCCTCGCCATTCTGGGTGCCTCCTCCTTTTCGTTGGTTCCTATCGCACTCGAATTTCTCATCGAACTCAGCCACCCACTCAGCCCCGAAATCACTTCAACTTTGGCGTGGGCTGGTGGCCAGCTATTCGGCGCTATCTTCATCATCGTTAGCGATGCGCTCGTGGCAGATAAGGATGCGAACCCTCCGAAGAACATGAAGAATGCCCTGATCTTCCAAGCAGTTGTGGCTCTTGCCGTAGTGCCCCTCCCTTTGTGCCTGGGGCTTTTTGGCCGGAAAGAAAAGACTATGCTTCGACGTGTTCGCTCAGATGAACAAAACCGGTCGGACACGACTGTAACGACTAACGCATGATTGGATTTCGAACTGAATGCAACAGGGGCCTGACGTATGGTTTCCCAAGCTATGACATTGGGAGCTATTAATATTACTGTCATTGTCGCAATATACCCATTTCCTTTTTAGTTAAACGCCGATTGGATCCTTTAACCACGATGGGATTTTGTCCTCTATGCCTATTTAACCCCAAGAATGGTTTCCCACTCGTATCGCATGTTCTCCATCTTTTTCCAGCATTCGGCGCCCAGTTCCTCGAATCTCATGATATCTTCCTTGTTCACGTCTTTAGCGCCTCTCTTTCGCCCGATGGTCTTCTTAAAAACACCAACAGCAGTGTCCGCCTCGAGCGCCGCCGCATCCTCGACCTTGCCCTCCCAACCCCAGCCTTCAACTTCTGTCTTCTTAACTTCGACCTGCATGTGACGGTTCGAGCTGCTCCCCCACTTGATGCGCTCGGCACCTAGTTCATCAAGCGCAGATTGCTCTTGGAGCGCAATCCAAACAGGGGATTTGGCACCGGTATAGCTGTCTGTGTTGTGCCAGGGCGAGCCAATCCAGCGACTGATCAGAAGAGCAAGTTCATATGCCCACATGAGAAACCAGGGAACTGGGAATAGGGTGCTGGCAACAATACCCGGATGGGTGAGATACATGCGCGGTCGAATGGGTTTATCGCGGGCCTCATTGGGGTCGTCGGGAGTGAAGAAGCGGCTGGAAGATGGCATGGCGGCAGGAAGAGTTGCAGTAAGGGAGAGGATATCGGTGACCCGTTTGGCGGATTCGTACGGGCCTTTGCCATTGAAGCACTGGAAGTCGGACATATCGAGAACATTATCGATGGCCTCAAGGCTGCTGGACCAGACAAGACGGCCGGGTGTTTCGGTTTCGGATCGCCGACTAAGTAGTGGAAGGAGTTCATGGGCCAATATGTAATGACCAAAAACACACGCTGTAAAGACCTCGCCGAGTAAAGGTTCCTTAGGCTGCATTCAGTCAATCGGTGAAATCCTTGAGATGCTGAGACTCCGACTCACATAGTTGTAGCTGCGCTTTTCGTTCAATAGAGCGGTAGGGAGGGCCATCTTGAAGTTTGGCCAAGTAACAGACTGCACCAACCCCTGGGTCAAGATAGTCCATACAGCTTTGGGATAATTGACCCCTGACCATCCACCGTACGCAGCATTGAATACTACAGTATCCAGCCTGGGAATGCGTACATTTCGTAGATACTCGCCCTGCAGCCCCTCAGGATTGCTCACCGGGCCTCGTAACAAAGCATTTGCGAAAGAATACACTCCGCGCAAGTCACAAAGGTCAAGCTGCAAGCTCAAAACATGGACTCGTGCAACGGTGTCTTCCCAGCGATATGAACTGCCGAACCGTGAACGTAGTGCTGTAGAAGATTGGGCGGCTTTTTTGGCGTAGTCGCGAAGGGTTTGGATCGTTTGTAAGGACTTGGACTTGGATCGTGTGGTGGGGATGAGGATGAGGTGGGAGCGCAAAGATCGTGTAGCAAGGAATTCGTCAATCAGTCGTTCTCCAATACTGAGACCGATACCACTTGAGTTGTATTAGCTGTCGTTCCCTATAGCCTGGAGTAATTGAGCAAACCTATTGGCACCTGTGATCAGAACAAAAAGTTGCTCCTGACCTGAGACTCCCTCCCAGGGGACTGTCGCTGGCGACAATTGTGAACCCATCTACGTAGAATACAGCTCAATTCTTGGAATATAGCATTCGCGGTGGGCAAAGTCAATCCTGCGAATATTATCACAATGCGATACAGAGTTAAGGGCGGTGTGTTAGACATTAAGATGTTAGGTATGGTGTTGCGTTGGGTGGAAAGACGTTCACGTGATAACTTATATTTAATTTCCATGCTGTATGCAGTCTACTTTGAGCATGGCAGCTCTATCCGAAAACGAATAAGAGACTACAGTACATCACTGCATCCTCACAATACGTCCAGTTAGGTAAGCTGAGAAAGATTAAGGCATCTCATCATTATTCTTGATTGTTATTAAATTGGTAACTACGCTTTTCCCCAGCGAATATCCATTCTCTCCATGAATACTCCATATACCATTGCAATTTGTTCAGGAATGGCTAAATCAACCCAATCATTACTCCCGGGCCTTGCTGCTGCCCTCACGCACAGCTTCAAGAATCAGATTCTTAGCCAGCTCAACTCCATCCTTGGTTCCAATAATTTCAATGGCTTCGTCCTTGGCCTGATCACGGGGGACCTGGATCTTGCAATTGCTCTCCTTTCTGATCGAGTTAACCTTGGAGCCGTTGGGACCAATGACATGTCGGTAGGTTCGAGGGTCTGGGAGAACCAGATAGCCTGTAGCATCATTCTTCTTGGCCTGCTCAAGAGCCTTGGCAATGGCATCCTTGGCCTTCTCTACGTTCTCAGATGAACCGCGCAGAACCCAGGGGAAATCGCCATCGTCACCAGCATCAATCTGGACAACCTTCCACGAGTGTGCCTCGGATGTGGCATCGTCGTCATCAGTGATCAGAGGGAGTGCTCCGACGTTAGAGCGAGTAGAAGAGTCAGGCTTAGCAGGCAGAGGTTGACCAGCATGATCAACAGTGACCGAGTAGTTGTTACGAAGCTGGCGGAAGAACTGGCCACCGTTGGAAATGGAGTGGTGAAGGTTGCGAGGGACCTGGATGGTCTCACCCTGTTGCTGCTGAACAAGTCCTTGGATATGCTCCTTAGCCTTGGCCACGTTCTCAGGGCGGCCTGTCAACTTGACGCCAGTCTTGCCATCACCTTGGCGGGGAACGTCGATAGAGACGGTGAACTTGGACTCGAGCTGGCGCTTTGTATCACCACCACGGCCAATGAGCGAACGGTGGTTCTCAATAGGAACATCCACAATCTCAGTGACCTGGCTCTCACGCTCACCCACAATCTCCTGAATACGCTCAACAATCTTGTTCACAACATCAGTGCGACCCTCAATCTTGATAGTATTTCCATCAGCCTCCTGCTTGGGGAACTGAATGGTGCGAGCAAGCTCTCGTCGGTCGTCAGAGCCACCGGCCTTGACGACAATGTCGCGAAGGTTGGAGCCTGTAACAGTTAGTTATTGTGTAAATAGACGTAAAAGGTATAAACTTACCGCCAGCTCCAATGAGAGCCTTGTGGTACTTCTTATCAACATCAAGGGTTCGGACTACGGTATCGTCGAAAACAGCTCGCTTCTCCTCAAGAACCTTCTTGGCCTTGGCGACCTGTGAAGCGGTACCCTTGATCTGAATCTCGACAATATCGGTGTCTCGGTCTTGAGGTACATCAATGCGAGCACCAGTAGCCTGGCGAAGCTCGTCTAGAGCGGAACCACCCTGTCCGATCAGAGATCCGACTTGCTTCTGCTGCACGGCAACAGTGGCGGTAGCCGAATGCTCTTCAAGATACTTGTGAAGAGAAAAGATCTCATCCCGAGCTTCGTCAGCACCCTTCTTGGGACCTCGGATGATGACCTCATCAGGAGCCTGCTGTCGACGAGGTTTGGCACCCTCTTCGGCATCGACATTCGACTGCTCATCATCTGCAGACTTAGCAGATCGAGGAAAGAAAATATGGACCTTATAACGGGTCTGCAGCCGGTTGATCTGGCTTCCCTGAGCCCCAATCAACTCCCTATGGTACTTGGGATCAATCTTCAGGGTGTGACTTGTCTCATCTGCCAATGTACGAGCGAGACTCTGAATGTGAGAGCGAGCAGTCTCGGCCTTAGCCTTGGGCCCCTTGAGCTCAACCTTGCCATCTTGGACCTGAATCTCAACGTCGAAACGGTCTCGAAGCTCACGAATGTTGCTGCCACCCTTACCAATTAAGTGATTGGCAAACTTCTGAGGGAAATCGAAAGACAAAGTGAAGCCTCGCTCCTTCTCGTCCTCCTTCTCTTGCTCCACAAAAGCATTGGACTTGGCAGCAAGAGACTCGACAGCAGAAGCAGGTCCTCTAAGGGTGATGCGAGTTCCGTTCTTCGAGACCCGGACAGGAATCTGGTCCGACTTTCGAGATTCCTGCTCCTTCTTGATGAATCGTCTAAGTCTTTCATGGTATTTGGCAGGTACATCAAGCTCAGCACTAGTGATAGCTTCCTGCTTGTTGATCAGCTCGAGAATGTGCTTCTGGGCATCCTCGAGCCCCTTCTTAAAGGCACGGATCTCGGCATCTGTTGGTTTAGTGCTAGGCAGCTGATAAGGACCATCGGCGGGATCAGGACCTTCAAAGACCAGGAGGACAGGAACATTGCCCTCTGAAGTCTCAGGGACAACAACCTGGACACCATAGTCATTCTTCACTTGACGAGAAATGTTGTTACGAAGGTGCTGGTGGAAGAAAGGGTCAATGGGGATAGCGCTCATGCGGGAGGGAGGCTGGGCATTGACAATGCCAGTGATCTCGGACTGGGCACGAATGGCGTTCTTGCCCTCACGTGAGTAAAGTTCCCAAGGAAGTGCACCGCCTTCTGAGAAAGGAGTGTTGATATGAGTGTTGTAGATCTTTTCCAGGCGCTCGATTTCCCTGCGTTGACGAAGATATCGAGTCACGTTGCTAGCATGTGCAGCAGCGCCGCCGGGGGCGTTGCGGTGGAATCGAGCAATATCCAAGTTGGACATCTGCATGCCCATGGCCAGATCCATGGCCTTCTCCAGACCAGAAGCAACCTCGTCAGCGGGTCCAATGACAGTGATAACGTCATCATCTTCTTCAGTGGGAAGAAGAATGGAGCAGCCAGTATCAGCAAAGAACTGCTCAGCAGGAACACCTCGGTCGCCCACGATGAATTGGTGGCGGCCACGCTGGATAGACAGCTGCTCGGCAGCAAGTTCCCTGTGGAGCTGGGCAACTCGGCGCTCAATCTCGGCGCGAGCTTTTTGCACTGCAGCTCGGTCACCAGCAAGCTGGATGTGGCTATCGTCGTTGCCAGCAGGGGCGAAGATAGGTCGTTCACCAGGGTTGGCAGTAACAGCAGCTGGCCCTGTAGAGTATGCCTGCAGGGGAGGGATGCGAACCTGCACACCACTGTCTTGTTCAAGAGCTTGAGCAAATGCATTATCTTGACCAGCAATAAAGGGATAGAAGGCAGCAGGAATGCCCCGAACCTTAGTCTGGACATTGGCAGACCGTTCGTCAGCAATCTTGAGGATCGCATCTCGAGCAGAAGCGGCAGAGAGGGCATTACCCTCGACAGTCACATCAATGGTAGCATCGTCATCCTCCTCATCGATAGGGTTGCTCTCGTCGACTTTGGGGAGCTGAATCTTGGCACCTGACTTCTCCTGGAGAGCCTTGATCGTGGATCCTCCCTTACCGATGATGTGGGCGCGGGCTGACTGAGGAATAGGAACTTTGATGGCAGCCTAGCAAGTATTAGTTTAGCTCGCGAATTGGAGACACGAAAACTTACTCGAGTACCAATCTGACCGATCAGATCCTTGAGCGCCTGTTGAGCGACATCCTGAGGACCAGTAGCATCAAACTTGTAGCGGCCGTTGGAGGTGGTGCCCATCGAGAGGGTGGCACGAGACTTGCGGTTAAGATCCTTGATGATATCAGGGATGGGCCTCTTTAGCTGACTACGAGACATGATGTACTGGGGATCCAGGGTGACAGACTCGACATTGCGGCCAGGAATGAACATAGATGGCTTGTTAGGGGTAGCAGCACCAGAGGCGGGAGTAGACGAACGAGAGCCACCGTTGGAGGCGGCGCCGTTCGCGGTCTTAGCTCCCCAGATGGGCGCCACATTGGCAGCCTTACCCTTGGGACCACCGAGCTCGGGGAACAACTCATGCGACTGAGTATCGAGAGTCTTAGAAGCGGTCTGCTTGGGAGCTGCTTTGGGAGCTGGAGCCTGGGCTTCGGCGGAGCTAGAGGCCTCGGCAGGAGAACGGATGGGAAGGTCCTCATCAGGTGCATCCTCGACGGTGACATGATGAGGAGCCTCTGCGTGCTTCTGCATGAGCTTCTGAGCAGCAGAGAGCTCGTTGGCGGGAGCTTCGGAAGCCATTGTAAGCGTGGTTTGTTGTTTCGAACGGTGTAGCTAGCTAGAGTCGGTATTGGTGGCAGATGAACTGATGTTGGATGTCAGAAAGGGGTCAATCCAAATCGAATTGGGAGTGTTATGCAAGAATTTTGCGTAGTAAATACTCACCGAGTTCAATTGGCTACGAGAGCAATCAAGCTTTGCGGCCAAATAAAGGTATTG